TTTAGAAACCAAATAGAAAGGTTACAACTGGCCGGAGTTGAAGCAGAGGTCAGAAACGGAGCAAAACGTAGCTGGAACAGAGAGATAGCTCACAGGGGGGGAGAGAGTCGGCTCTGGAATGTCAAGAGCCGACTCCCACCTGTTTAGAGCCGGCTCCAAGGTGGTTTAGAGCCGGCTCTGTGCTGCATTGAGCCTGTTCAATTTTTCTAGAGCAGGCTCTTTCATTATTTTGTGCGTACAGTGACTTTTCAATTACTGTTTGGGCACTTGGGGTTCTTGAACAGTTTTAGAACTTTAATAGGTTTTTAAATAATTAGTTTAACATGTAACTAAGGTCTTGAATTGCATAAATTTACCCCTTAGTTTTAATAGAATTAACAGCTGTTTGACAACTTTGCGTGCGGTTAACGGCTGGAAGAAGATTTACTGACTAGTTTTAATCTGACAGTTTAGGGTGCTATAAAATAATTCTAAATTTATTTTAAATGCACGGTGAAGTCTTTTAATTAATAAATTGGACTTGTGACATAATGCGTGGCTCTGTGCTAAAAGATAAAACATAAGACAAGTATACAACTTAGTACGCTGTTACCGGATGGAAGGAACTAAATTGCTTAAATTAATTTAGCGATTTATTGGACTATAATATTATTATAGAACTTATTTTAAATACATGATAGGGTCATTGTTATATTAAATTTGAACTATGCATGTTTTGGATGTTAATCGTTAGAATATTAAATTCTTTGATGCAATTACATGGATTAATACTGGATTTTAATTGCTAGATTGTTAATCTTCTTTCTGCAGTTATTTGGATATTAGTTTTGGATTGTAAATTACTAAACTGTTATATATATGATGTAATTTACAAGGATATGGAGGATTGTATGCACCGGTATGGGACGGTGACATATTAGGGACGGTTTAGCTCAAAACGCCTAAACCTAACTTAACGGATTAAAGGAATGAATTTATAAATATTGAATCCTAATTGCGTTTAAGTCAAATCAACTGCAACTAAGTTGAGTGGCTTCCTGGATTAATGGATGATGGTTAAGTCATATCAACTGAATAAGTTGAGTGACTAACTAATTTGTTATTGTATGTCAGTTCGATAAATAATTGAACTACATACCCTAGTTTTGGACGGACTTTATATATATGTTTATGGTACCACAAGATGAGCTCGAGTCTCAGACTCGTGGGTTAGGGTGCGTATATGCAGTGGATGCGTAACTGGTTATAATAGGTTGAGGTGTACCCTGTTAGGTCTAGGTACTCGTGCCTGCCTTTGGGTGCGTTTTCACATGTTACCTTCTATTCAGGTTAAGACCCCTATTATAGACCAGTGAATGTCCCTTAGTATGGATATATTTATATGTATGGACTAGATAGATATTGTGAGGTGTCTACGGTGTATCTGCGTATCGAGTCATTGTATGGATTGCAGTTAGATTAGAATTTGCTCGTGAGTCTGACTCACTCCTTTATTATTCTTTTCAGGTGTCGGACGGTTCCAGTCTCAAGCTTGATCGTGTTAAGCAGGGACTCTCATTCATCCTACCGATGATATAGGATTTCACTTTATGATTTAGTTTTGGAATATCTTTACTTTCAGTTACTCAGTTTCAGTTGGAGTTTGGTTTAGGGGTCCACTAGTTGGATTCCCAAATTGTAACCTTGAAGGTTTTTGGAGGATTAATTTATTATTTATCATTGGAGGATTTTATATTTAAATTCTTTATTTTTCTATTCTGTGTTCAATTTAAAATACTTTAATTGTTTGATATTCTCTCGGGTTTGGGCTTGGGCCTGATCAACCCGTGTCTCGGATCCGAGGGGTATCACAAAAGCCGATCCAAATCTTCTTTATGTGTATATATATATAAGGGGAAAGTCTGAAAAACACCCCTGTGGTTTTAAATTTGTGCAACTTACACCCCTTTGATTAGATTTATTTATATAAATCCCTACTAGATATAAAAATGTGCAATTAAGCCACCTCCGGTGACTATTCCGGTGAGAATTGGACACCAGTTGGTCATGTGCATGGCACATGACCATTTTAAACCCTTTATTCAGGAATTGCCCTTTTAATATTCCTTTACTACCCCTCACCATATAAATATATATATATTTGTATATTATATATATGGGTTTTGAACTTCTGATTCTTGTAAATTTTGTAGTTTGCATTTACAGAGAGAGAGAGAGAGAGTGAATTCAAAGTTGAGAATGAGAATAGAGATGGAGGCGATTGGGGAAGCTGAAATGATTTGCCCTAAAACAAATTATATAAAAAAAAAGATCATAAAAAATTTCACCAAATAGCATTTAGTTTGCAAAACAAGAATTATAGACCTTGATTAGTTGATTTAGAAAATAATAAAAAAAAACCCATACATACAAGTTAGTAGTTGTAGCGAGAGAGAGGGGGGGGGGAAAGCTTGAGAGTTGTAAGACAACGGCTGAAGCTTGCGAACGGCGAACTTGAACTAGAACAACGGGCGATGGAAACTAAAAGATATGGGTTTTAATTTTTTAAACAATCTGAAATGGAAACTGAAAGATATGGGTTTTGATTTTTTGAACAATTTGAAATGGAAACTGAAAGATATAGGTTTTAATTTTTTGAACAATCTGAATTGATATGCCGATATGGGTTTTGATAGGTAATAGGTTTTGAACTTTTTTTTTTCTTAATTGGTTTTGAACTTTTGATTCTTGTGTCGAACCCTACCTTTCTAAAAGCAAACCCTTTCCGATGTTGCTGAGGGAATCGGAGAATTCTATCGATTCTATGGATAAAGGAGTGAGAAACCGTATCTTGACTATTTCTTTTTTCTTTTTTCTTTTTCTCTCTTTTTTTTTTTTTTTTTTTTTTTTTTTTTTTTCTTTGAGGATGATTCACATACCCTGGAGTATGTTACCAATACAACAACAAAAACCAGTCCATCAACCTCCTCTTGTGAGTATATATTTGCATTCAAGTGACTTCCCTGGCGTCCCCTCTGAACTCGAAGCCGAATTGCTTCAAAATCATAGATATACGGGTTTTGAACTTCTGATTCTTGTATGGTTTTGTAGTTTGCAATTGCAGAGAGAGAGGGGGCAAGATCATAGTCAAGAACGAGAATAAAGATGGAGTATTGATAGAGGGCTATTTTAGTCTTTTCACATTTTATGTTATATTATTAGTTTTTTTAAATCATAGATAGAGGGCCATTTTAGTCTTTTTGTAGCTCCGGTACCGGTCAATAGGGGTCAACGCCAAAAATGTACTTATTCACACCATTTTTAAAGTATAAGGGAGATAAACAAACAATGGGGGGTTATACGCACTATATCGATATCATAAGGGTGTAAAGCGCACGCGAGCCTATATACAATTTGAAATTGCTTCGATTCATCATCAAGATCAAAATTTAAACACCCAATTGATTTTTCTAGTCCTTACTTCCTCATTCTCACCATAGAGGAACGGTGAGATACTTCTGATTTTTCTCTTCGATTGTTTTTAGCTTTGTTCTAATTCATAATGGGTTTCAATAATGACCCTGCCGGATTGCTAACTGGAGCAAGAGAGAGAAATAGACGATAACGATGGCTGGATTTCATGAGCAAGAGAGAGAAGATTGGGTTCCAGCAACCAAATCGCATAAGTGGTTTTGTAACACATGGCTTTCTGTGTATGACTTTGATTTATATTGGGTTTGCAAAAGTCAGGTCTGTGATTGTTGATAGGGTTGCAAATAATGAGATCAGAGAGAGATGCAATTTGGTAGATCGAGATGAAAGCCAATGGGAGTTATGGTTAACAAATTGGGGGGTTTAATTGATTTAATTCTAAAATTTTAATAGGGGTAATATTGTCTTTTTAAAATTATAGTGCATGTTTCACTGAAAAAAAATCAATTTGAATAGTGATGAACAGTGACATCGTGTGTTTTTTACAAAAAATAAAATAGTTTAGAGGGTTTATTGAAAAAATGAAAGTTCAAAGGGTGTTTATTGGGAGAGAGAGTAAAGATCAGGGGGGGTTTGTTGCATTTTACCCTATAATTAATGATGTATTTTTATCTAAATACATTAGTGTTATAAGATATTTGTCCCACATCGGATCTGGATAGAAAGTGAAAGGGGTATGAATGGGTGGGTATGCAACACTATCAAAGAGTTTAAGTTTTTGGGCAAATGGGTAAGTGCCCACCCGTTACCGTTAATATTAGAGCCAGACCCAATATTTAATCTGGTGCCACACCAAGCGCCTCGCCCGGAACCGACTTTTGTAGACACATCCCATTCAACCCTTTACGAAGTATTTACCATTAGGGATGGCAACAGGGCGGGTTTGGCTAAACCCTATTCCGCCCCGTTAGAAAATTAGTCATACCAACTCCACCCCAACTCCAGGATGTGTTTGTAATTGATATACCATCCCCACCCCTACTTCGGTAAACAAAGTACCTACTTCGCCTCGCGTATTCCATTTAATTGCAGGATGGAGCAGGTTATGTCACTCTTATTATATTTAAAAAAAGAAAGATAGCCTAATGTGTTTAAATTGGACTGATAAATAAGGTGGCCAAGTTTTTAAATTACTAAGTAGTAAATATTTATATATTTACTAATACTTTTAATAAAGAACAAGATTCTTATAAATATTAAATATATATAAAAAAATTTAAAGATACATGTATAATCGGTGTGAGATTGGATAGGAAATTCGCTCTTGTCCCAAACCCATGTCGACTTTTTAATTATTTTACCATATCCACTCCAAATCTATTTAGAGACTACCAAATTCACTCTATTAGGGACGGGATGCGGCAAAAACCCGCTAAGTTAGAGAAAATTGCTATTAGTATTTACCACTCGTATTTATTATTTTACTGAGTATTATGGAATGATCAATTTATTTATTTATATATATTTTTTTAGGAAAACGCTCATAAGATGCATCATTTTTTCATGCAAAGAAAAAAATCAAGAAAGTAAGTGGACTTACCCATTTACCCTCAGACCCTAGTACTCTAGACGGTGTGGATCTTCGTCTCTGTATCACACTCACCCACCACCGTCGTCGCGTAGTCAAAATCGCTCGCCGTACACAACTCGTACTCACCACTGGAAGTGCCCGCCGTCGATCGACACACACAGATCCCGACGGAGTTGTCCAAAAGATCTGTTATTACAAAGATCCTCTCCCCAAAATGATCCATTCTCACAATCATCGTCTATTCCCTCTCTTCTTTTTCTCCTTCTTGTTGGTAAACAATCTCTCTCTCTGTGTATTGACAATTGTTTTATTTTATTTGATTCGATTGTTTAATAAATTCATTTTCTAGTTTTGCATCAATTATTTTGTTCTTTTGTGTTGCGATCACATTATATATAAAGATATTTATGTATACATATCAATTAGAGACGTTATATAGCCAAAAGATGATACGATTACCTTCCTAACATCGACTAAAAATCAAAGGAACTTTCAAATATAATGACGAAGGCAAGCCTTCAATACTGCTTGCTCAAAGACTATTTTAAACCCCACCTGTTTCAGGAATGGTTTCTTCTGTTGTTTTCTTTTCAGTTTTTTTATCTCGTTTTGCATAGTCATGCCATTTACAATCCCTTTTATGTCGTGATCACATTATATATATGTGTCTATATATATCAATTAGAAATGTTTTGTAACAAAAAGATCATATACTTACGAATATGATGACAAAACTAGGTCTTCAACATTGTCTGCTTAAGGACTATTTCAAACCCAGCCTTTAATTTTTGTTGAGATCGTTGGGCATAAATTATGAATTATCCATTATTGTCCTACAAAGTTGGTAATTCATGAATGGTTTCTTCTGTTGTTTTTCGGTCTTTTTTTCGTCCCGTTTTGCATTTCATGCCATTTAGAATCCCTTTTGTGTTGTGATCACATGATACAATGATACGATTGCCTTCCTAACATCAACTGAAAAACAGAGGAACTTTAATATGCAACGACGAAGCTGTTTCTTCAAGACTGTCTGCTTAAGAACTATTTCAAACCCCACCTGTTATTCATGAATGTTTTATTCTTTTGTTTTCTCTTCTGTCTGTTTCTTCTTGGCTTGTATTTCTCCTCCATTTATTTTTCTACAAAACAAAGTTCGTTTTCGCTTTTATAAAGAAATCAGTTTACACACAGCATATTTTCGCGGTATGCAATAAGTTGTCCAATCTATTGGGTCAATACGTAGATCTATGTTGGCGACTGCAGTACACGGGAACATGTTTATGCCCTATGATAGGATTATTGATTTCCATGTAGTGGGGTCTATTTTTGTTTAGTTTATGCTATGTAAATAGATAATGTTGTACTGATTGTTTGAATAATGATTTACCAGTTCTTAGTGGCTGGGTCACATGGATCTCCTGTTCGAACTGGTAAAAGTGGGATGTCATCAGTGTTTTCCTTGTTTAACCTCAAAGAGAAGAGTAGGTTCTGGAGTGAGGCTGTTATACGTGGTGGTATGCCTACATCTTGTTTATCTCCATTATTATGTTTTCACTTTTCAGTGGTTCCCTTTATAGGTTTTTCCTGAGAAATGGGTTTATTTCAGTATATTTTGTGACAATTTCTGTTAACGTGTACAGATTTTGATGATTTGGAATCTTCCAGGCCTGGGAAAATGGCTGCTCTCAATTACACCAAGGCAGGTACTTGCATGTATATCACCATTGTCTTACTGTGTTTTTCAATGTACTTCTGTTATCCTGTTTATACTGTGCATGCATAGTGTTTTTCTTTCTGATTTCCTAAATAATCATTTAAACTTACAATTACTATTACTACATAGCAAAACTCTGCATGTGGACTTAATTTAGATTTTAGACATTTCTCTGCTTAAATAGTGCAGTTTCTAATGTCAATTTTTGGCCCGATACGCATGCATGGGTCATAAAGGATAATCAATTTTTCTGCACGTAGTGGATTTTGAAGTGGAAACATATTATCTAATTACATTTATCGGTTAGTTCAATGGGGGTTATGGACTCCATTGGTGATTACCATCGGCGGCATTTGTTGTAACTTTTAACACTCCTCTTAATGTCTCCATCTCTATGTATCTTTTATTTATTTATTTATTAAGTTTGAAAAATTGATTTCTACTTCTGTTAGTTTTGTCAAGAAAAGTTTTGCTCCTTTAGTCCTTTTCGCCTTACATGCTTTTGTTCTAATGCCACGTCAAAAAGTAATTGATTGGGGACTGAGGAGTGATGAATAATATCACTAACATAAAACTCCCCCCGTGGCGTTTTTTTGGGGGGGGGGGGGGGGGGGGGGGGGGGGGAATTTAAGTATACTAGTTAATTGTATATATAATAAAACCTCAAACAGACCCATGTTCATGTCACTTGTCAGTCAGAAAATAGTAAATTGAAATAAACTAATCATTCTGCTTTCAATGTATATATAGAACTTTGACACCTGATGACCTTTTAAGTGGTTTGCTCATCATCTAATTACTTATCTTCTTTCCAAATTGGATGAATTTACATCTCAGGGGATTATGACACTTTTTGTCATAGAAACATGACATGATAAAACGATTTGGTAAATGTTGAACTGATGCTCTTGTTCAATCAAATCAAGCTATTCCTGACTGAGTATTTATATAAACTGCAAATTGCATAATTGTTGGTATGGAAATTGGATTGCTTTCCTCTCTTTGTACTCAAATGAAGGATAGCTGTGATTTATGGTAGGAAGGTAACAGGAGTTTATGAATTTGAAACTTTCTTGTTAATTTTAATCTCAGTTTCTTTATTTCCTTATCGCATAACTTTGTATAAATTCTTTGTTGTTCATAGTTTCTTAATTCCTTACTGAACTTTGAATTATGTTGGAGGCAGCATTGATTTGAAATCAGGAAGTAAAAATTTCTTTTTTGTTTTGTTTTTTTTTATATTTAATTTGTATATCAGGTAATATCGCAAATTATCTAAAGCTCCTGGAAGTGGATTCTATGTATCTTCCAGTCCCTGTGAATTTCATTTTTATTGGATTTGAAGGGAAGGGGAACCAAGGTATATATATATATATACACTTTTTTTTTTTTTTTTTAAAAATTATTTCTTATTTTAACAGCTTTTTTCTTAAGTGGATTCCAGACTTATTTTTTTAATTTTCAGAATTTAAGCTACATGCTGAAGAACTTGAGCGCTGGTTCAAAAAAATTGACCACATTTTTGAACATACGCGAGTTCCTCGCATTGGCGAAGTTCTCACCCCATTTTACAAGATTAGCATAGATAAGGAGCAACGTCATCATCTACCTATGATCAGTCATGTAAACTACAAGTAATATGTTTCTGTTTACCTTTTCGTTGACTTATTTATTTTATTTTTCAGGAGACTCTTTTTGTTTTACTGTACTCGAATTTATTATATTCTCTTGTATGAGTTAAACGTTGCTATGAAATACTCTTGCAGCTTCTCTGTACATGCTATACAGATGGGCGAAAAGGTTACTTCTATTTTTGAGCATGCCATTAATGTCCTAGCCCGCAAAGATGATGTGTCTGATACCAGGTAAAATATGCCCTGTGCTGAAGTTTTGCACATTTTGATAATTTTCTTCATGTTATTAGAGAATCTTGAGAATTCTTGCTATTGTATGTTTTGTTTCCAGAACTGAACAAAAATGGCTTATGAATTTTTGGAAACTTTGAAAAATTGAAGCATTGAAAAACTAAACGAGAGAAAAGCTAGGCACTCCGCATTCGCATCTAGGCTCTTAGGAGCTCACATGTAAAAGAAGATGACTCACATTAGAAATAAATTGTTCAAGATATTTCTTCCCTTCCTGCTTTAAAGTAAAGCCAATGTGTCACCATGTATAGAAGAGGACTTAAGTTGGGGGAAGTAAGAAAACTTGAGGCCCTAGTAATATTTGGAAGACTGGTGAGACTAATGGGCTGTCTGTTTGGAGGGAATAGTAGGGGAAAGGAAAAGTGGATGGGTGAATAGAGATTTATAGTTTAGTAGGAAGGAAAGGGGAAGGGAGAGGAAGATAGGAGGGGCACATTTCCTTCATGGTCCATCAAATTCTTTCGTCCCTTAGGTGGGTGACAAGAAAGAGGAAGGGATTACCCCATTTTACTTTTATTTTTGTTATAAGAAGTATGGATACAGATACTTATAAAAAAGGAAATATGGATACAGATATGGAACATTTACAAGTACTTGACACGACATGACATGATGTGGACATGCTTACTTGGAAAATCATAATAAGTAAGAATGGACATGGTAAAGACTATGCAGTAAAAAATAAATTTATATTAACAACTATTATTTTATACGACATACAGTACTTTATGTTAAGTAATTCTAATACTTTATGGATGTATCACAAAATTTGTAGCTTATGAATCATGATGATCCTAATCATCCTTATTGCATAGAAAAAAATGACAAAACATGGACACAACACGTGTTTTTTTTGGGTTTGTGTTTGTGAATGTGTATGTGGATGTATATTTATGTTTGTGTATGACTCCACTACTTCCATGCTCACGAATTGCCATTACCCATTGGATGTATCAAGAAATTTATAGCTTACAAATTATAACAATTCTAATCAGCCTCATTGCGTAGAGAAAGACATAATAAGGACACAACATGTCTTCTGTGTTTGTGTATATCTATGTAGATGTATGTGCCTGTGTACATGACTCTTCTCCAACTTCCATACGCACTAGAAAGCCATTACCCAGTGTTGTCCCCTTAATCAATAGTGTTGGGAGAGGTAGATATTTACATTCTGAGCTTTGTCAATATTTGCACAAAGTAGCTGTCCACATACTTTAATCGAGTAATCAACAATCTCACATTTGGCAGTATGAAAAGTATGCTCATCCTGTTACATCTTCCTTTTAATAGATGATTGATGTAATTGAAAATTGAGTTTGCGTTATTGTAAATGATTTTTTGTGTTGCTTCAAATGAGTGACGGTTGTTTTTATTAAGAACAAGAACTTTTATCTGTATTTCTGCTTTAATTAATCTTCGTTCATTATGTGTTTGTAGGGATGACCATTCTGGTCTTTGGCAAGTAGATGTGGACATGATGGATGTTCTCTTCTCCAGTTTGGTTGAATATTTGCAACTCGAAAATGCATATAACATTTTTGTTCTGAATCCCAAGGGTGATGTGAAACGAGCTAAATATGGATACAGGTGCTTATTTTGGTCAAAGTTTTGAACTTCTATTATTTATTTATTTATCTATGCTTTGCTAGTAAGAACATCAGAACACACTTTATGAAGTACACCCAGTTCCCACCCCCAACTAAGTTACATTTAGTATCTAACCTCTTACTCATAGGATATTCAGGATGCTGATCCCCTTGCTAGGAGAGGGGATGGATTGTTATAAATTAGAGGATGTCTGTCCTCCACCATCCGGTTCCACCTGCATGGAGTGGTTTCAGGGGCTGTTCTAGTTCCACTTGCTTTCTCTCCTTTGTTGTAGTCTTGTATCAGTTCTTGGTTTTCTTGTCTTTTTCAGATGGCTGCCTCACCTTTCTTTGCACTCAATTTCTCTGTAATAAGTTTTTTGACATCCATAGAATTTGATGCCTCCAGATACCAATTTTGCTGCTTATTGGTACTTCAGCTGTCGTTTATGCCTAGTTATGCATCAGGTCATATCGAAGCGAGATCAATACTTCAGTATTGTGGCCACTGTATGGTACCACAGCAGGTCATATCGAAGCAAGATCAATACTTCAGTATTGTGGTATATAATTTTTTGGATTCTCAGGCTAAGGCATGAGGCATCTGTCTTTTAACTGGTCATGACACGCAGCTCTATTTTGCGCCTTTTGTGGAAGGCACTTGCTTAATGCTGGCCCTCTTTCCTGTAATGTCAAGTTTTGCATTTGGCAGCTGTGGTGCCAAATCCCCGTCTGACCAGTCTGATCGTGACACCCATATCAGATATGTGTCGGCCTATCAAACATGCTAAAAAGGCCATTACCCTGTATTTATCCCACCAACATTGGGCCACAGAAGGGGTGGGCTGAAAATAGACCTAGCCGTCACCATTAATTTGTGTAAAATGGTTATTCTCCATTGATGTTTATACTGATAGCAGTGGTTAAAATAAAATTCAATGCGACTCCTATCATACATGTAGTCTTAATTCTCTATAGCGTTAGAAATTACAGACTTTTAGATGAAGCTAAGGATTAGAGAACGCATGTGGTAGGAAGAAGTTTCTAGAAGCTAAAGTTTTATGCTTAAAATGATTTAAGTAATGAATTTTACTTTAAAAAGAAAAAAATTATAGGGAACGAAGAGGCTTAGTAATCAATGTTCGGCAGGTTGGTCCCTCTTTTATGTGTTGTTACTCATTATACGAGCTGGGTACCATGAAAATTCCATAAAGTATAAATATACATGTACATTTATTGATGTTCCCACTAAGCACTTTTGAACGCTGTTTTGCCCCATACTGCATTTGTACAATTAATGCTGTAGCTCTCTTTGCATAATACATATTTTTTTGTCTGACCTGATTGTTTTGGTTTTGAATTATATTTAACTATCTTCTATGAAGCATAGATATTGACTTGGGGCACGGACACGGCATGTTGACATGGAAAATCTTAAAAAAGTAGGACACGTCATTATATTTTTACATAAAGATTTTATTGTATATGATTTATAAATATTCTATGACTAGTATCAAACTTGTAATTTATAAACCATATAATTATAAATTATAATCAACCATGTTGCATAGAAAATGATATAACAAGGACACTTCATATATTGACACGCATGTGTTTGTTTATGTATATATCTCCTACTTTCTTGTAATAAATCCTCCTTGTATCTTTTGCATCTTAAGTACGGTCAAACGTATAAGAAGCACAAAACCTTCTAATAAGGAGCCGCGTCTGTGTTAGACACGCATGGGGTTCCGACACTTCTCAGTCACTCCGGGACACATGTTTGACATATCTTGAACATGTCCACAGTTTGAAATTAAAAGTCTTAATTTCGCAAAGATTTCTGGCAGTTCTTGACCTTATCTAACACGTGACCAATCAACTTTAAATATGTTGATTAAAACTTCCTTTTAGCATGGAAGAAAATTATAATTTCACTTACCAAAAACAAGTATAGTTGCAAGAGAGACAAAATTAAAGATTCATGTAGAATTTGTATAAGTTTGACTATATTTATGGATCAAAAGATATAAGAAGGTTTTACTGAAAAGGAGTGGGCATTGGAGTAGGAAATGAGTCTACTTTCATGCACAAATGCATATGATTTCTGTATGTGTACTTGTTATGTCTTTCTCTGTGTCACATGGGTGACTATAATTATATGATTTATAAATTACAATTTCTTGTATATCATATTTTTATATAAAAGTCATATTTTATTACTGCTTCCATGCTGTGCCCGCATCCTACTTTTTTGAGATTCGTTTTCCCGTGTCGTTTCCATGTCCATGTCGTTATCCATGCTTCTTAGATGCATGTCATGGGCATATTCAAAATGTGCCAGACACATTTCTGAGAATGTCTAAGGATTCTCATTGTAACACGTCTGACAAGAACACGGCTCCTTAGAAGTGTCTATACTGCATAGCCTATCATTTGATGCTAAATTTGATAAAGGATTCTTTGTGGCCTCATTTGTCAAATCACTAAGGATTCAAATTTCATTGTACTTGCATATGGTACATTGTATGGTTTTCATACTTCTGTATTCACATTTATTTGTGTTTTGCAGGAGAGGTTTATCTGAGACTGAAATAGACTTTCTTAAGGAGGTACTTTCCAGTTTCTTTAATGCTTCAAATGTCCCTTTTCATTTAGATGCTTCCCATTAACCATCAGTTCTTTGAGTATTTATTATATGGCTATTCCATTTGATATTTGCATATTTAGGAATTTATCAGATTATATATATAAAGGTGTTTGTTGTTTTGTAGTATGTTTCTCTTTATGGCATTTAGAGAATAGGCACTAATAGTTTTATATTTTACAGAATAAGACCTTGCAAGAAAGCATTCTTCATTCAGGAACTGTTCAAGAAAATGTTTTTGGTTCGTAAGAACTTATATTATAATGTGTTCTGGTTCCTCTTTGAATAGTGTAGAAATGTTTGCTTAATTAGTATTTACATATTTATAATTATCTAAAGACCTAATATTTTGCCAGCTCTTGATAATATTAAGAGGCCTTTGTACGAAAAGCATCCAATGGAAAAGTTTGCCTGGACCATAACTGAAGAAACTGATACGGTTAGTACTTTTTTGCTTTAATTTCCGAAAATAGTAAATCTTACTGAAATTTGCATACTGAATCTTTCTTACCCATTTTACTTGCCTGTGGCCCTGGACCAAATCTTTTACCAGTTCTTGATAATATTAAGGTTTTTTTATTGGATTCACTATGCAAATTTTCTTTTAATATCATTAAATTGTTTAATTTGCCATCTGTAAAGGAGAAAGGATATTATTTGTTCCTTTGGATGTACTTATATGTATAATTTTTGGGCCTCCATATGGAAAGAGACATGGAGGCTTATTCTTGCATCATAAATGGCAATGCATCTAAAGCTTTTTTGTTAACAAAGTGCATAATTACTTGCTTACTAAATTGATTAAATCAGAGGTAGCAGATGTTGTTCATGCAATGTATGTATCTTGTAGATGCAGGTAATAGATATGGGGTACATCTCTATTTGCTAGTTTTTTGTAAATTTCGATTACCTGTGAAACACTAAAACTTGTACAAGGAAGATGTATCCATGTTGTATGTGTATCGGATACCGATACTGTTTGGATACTCGTAAATACATATACTTCTTGATGTATTAATAATTTGAAAAAAAAAAAAAATTTCACATCGAACATTTGTCCGCTCAGATATTCTTCATGTCTGACACATCTTGAAACTAAAATGTAGTATTACTAATTTACCTTTATGGTATGATTGTTTTAAAAAAGCTTAAAGGGTTCAAATTTTTGGATTTGGATGAATTAGGATAGAATCAGAATACTAATATTTTAAGTTAGAAAGTCCATGTTAATGCAACATAAATCTCGGCTTTTAATGTTTGTTTTGATATTATAACTAATAAGTAAGAAATATAAAATATATCATATACTTGTTAGTCATATTCTTTTATGAGAAAATGTTAATAATAATATTTCTATTTAAAACGACAAACAATTATTATTTTAGTTTTTTTTTCATAGATACATATTTCTTCGCCTGTGTTTTTTACACAGTTGGTCCCATAGTTGTTAAAGGCTCAAGGCGCACAAAAGCGCAAATGCCTCCTGGAGCTTGAGGCGCAAGGTGCAAGGCGAGGCGCGCGCCCGACTGAAGCGAGGCGCGCGCCCGACTGAAGCAAGGCGCACGTTGAAAAAAAAAAAAACAAAACCCACCCAATAAAGTATTAAAGATGCAATAGTATATATAAAGATGTAAAAGTCAACTAAATGAATTACTTAAGTTAAATATTCAACATAAAATGCCAAAACCAAGTAAAGTCCAATTCAAAGTGTCTACTTGCATTAATCTTATTGTGCCCAAAATCATAATGTTACTGCATTTTGCTGTCATTATTACCAAGTAAAGTCCAATTATAAAGATGCCAAAACCAAGTAAAGTCCAATTATAATGTTACTGCATTTTGCTGTCATTATTACCAATTCAAAGTGTCTACTTGCATTAATCTTACTGTGCCCAAAATCATGCAGAAGGTTATGTATGATGGAGAAAGATCAAATTTTGTCTTCACCTTAAAGTCCAACATCTTTCTGATACCCACATGCACAAAATTGTATATACAAAACGCAAACAACGATCTTTTTATTGCCACGTAGTATGAAATGAAGAACAATAGTTATAGTACATAACAAACACAGATAACTGAAAAAAAAAAAATTCAACCATCTTAAATAACAACTCCAACTCTACAAACAAACTAAACTCTTTCAAATAAAAAGAAGAGCTGTAGACAGTCCAGAGTCCAGACTCGAGAAAAAAAATAAAATAATAAAATAAAGATAAATAAAAAAATAAAAAGAATAAAAATAAAATAAAAAATCTGCCAAACTCGACTCGGCCGAGAGAGAGAAGAAAAGAAGAAGAAGAAAAGAAAAAGAAGAAAAGAAGAAATAAAATATCTGCAGAGTCGCAGAAGAGAAGAGAAGAAGCAAATCTGAGAAGAGGACGAGAGAAGAAGGAGAGAAGAAGAAGAGAAGAAGAAGAGAGAGAAGGAGAAGTTAGAGAACTTACCGGCAGAGTCGCAGACGCAGATCCGACACAAATCCGGCAGATCTGACTTCCGAGACCGAGAGTCCAAGTCGTCGCTGCCTCTGTCGAGTCTGTCTTCTTTCCTTTGCTTTTTGTTCTCTTTTCTTTTTTTGTTTTTTATGTTGTAACAATGTAACTTGTAGGTTTTCTATTCAATTAACTAATAAAATAATATAATATAAATAATGATAATATAACAATACATAAAAAAAATAAACAAACAGAACTAAACCAATAAAAAAAATTGCATTTTGCAAGCAGGCGCGCCTTTGGGACGCCTGTAGCCTGGTGCCTGTTTGGTAAAGGCGCACGCCTTCTTTACTCCCTGCGCCTTAAGTCACTAAAGGCGCTGAGATGGCGCCTAGAGGCGCCTTTAACAACTATGGTTGGTCCCTAGTCGGATAAAGGAGGAGGGTTCCGTTTGGTAACTTGATAGCTGGCATAAAACTTTGTCATGACCAATATGAACATAATCGTATGATTGATTCAGGCTATGACCTTAATAGAGCGGAATGGAAACATAGGATTTATGTAGCCTACCCCAAGTAGTTGGGAATAAGGCTTGGTGGTTGTCGTTGTTGCCATAAATACATATTTATTTACTTTTCATATGTATATTATATATTTGCATGCGCGCGCGCGCACACATAAATATTGTCATATCCTTGTTGTATCATTATCCTGTTTTTAAGAATGTCACATTGCCATGTCCATATCGACCCATCTCTGTGTTGTGTCTATATCTCATATCCATGCCCATGCTTCACAGTCCATTATATTTAACATTTTGCCTGCTAGACATAACGGAAAAGTAGGCTCTGCTTGATGATGGGTCAATATTCGGCAGAGTTTAAGGCATCGGGTCAATCGTCCGATAAGTTCAATTAATAGGTGAAATAATGGGAAAAAAGTTTATATTATTTGATCATTCTCAGCCATCTCATTTGAATTAATTCTGTGGCAATAGTAATAATGTTAAATAGGTTCTGTAAAGAAAATGTTTATAACTCATCCAACCCTTTTACCTTTTAATATCTAACCTACTACTTAGGACCCTCAGATGATGGACTAATTCCTTATTCGCCATTGACATGGCAACACTGGACAATTTGATTGGATTGAATTCACTCATTAGCAATTATTTAGGAGTACATCCCAATAGAAATGCGTCGTAGATGCTATTAATTCCTTTGCAGTGGCCTCCCTCTTAAGGAGTACAAAGTATATCTGATTGTGTGGACCACATTCTGATGGAACTTTTATATAGTTTATGTAGGTAGTGTCTTGCTTCTCATTCCTTGCTTTTCTTTCATCCACATTGGAAAATACGTTTCCTGTAAAAAGAGAATTTGCAAATCCGACAATTTTTCTCATCTAATATTGCTTATATTTTTCATTGTAGTTGTTTACATTTTAGAAGACAACATACTAATGGGATTTGCATGATGGCCAAAATAAAGTTTGGAGGGCAAATATTGTAGCTTTAGTTGTTTTTATTTGCCAATATAATTTCAAGACCATTATTTTCCATTTAATTGTTTTCCCAGATAGAGTGGTACAATAGCTGCCTAGATGCACTGAATAGTGTTGAAAGGCTATATCAAGGGAAAGATACTGCTGATATCATCCAGAGCAAAGTGATGCAGGTATATAGCCTTCCTTATTATATGTCTTGGATAGATGCAGCAAAACAAAAATGTTGAAAATCTCATTCTCTGATATATATATATATATATATATATATTACTTTTAATGGAATAAAAGTTCATTTATTTATTTTGTTTCCAAGTTGTTGAATGGGAAGAATGAAGATTTGAAGCTTCTTTTTAAGAAGGATTTGAAATCTGGGGACTTTAGTGGTCTACATGCAGAATGTCTCACAGATACATGGATTGGGAAGGGCAGGTTCAGTCTCTCTCTCTCTCTCTCTCTGTATCTCTTGTTCGCTCACTCTCGTTTTTGCACATGAAGTTTAATCTTAGAATATCTGTATCAGGTGGGCATTTATCGATTTAAGCGCAGGCCCTTTCTCGTGGGGCCCTGCTGTTGGTGGAGAAGGTGTTCGCACTGAACTAAGTTTGCCAAATGTGAACAAAACAATTGGTGCAGTAGCAGGTACTAGATGGTTCTGACAATGGTTTATTTCTTCTTAGTGCACATTAATGCATGATTTTTTCAGTCATCGGTGATGTTGCCGACCCAGTTATGATAAAAGCACAGATTCGATTTTAGAGATTTCAGAATAAAATTGCCGAGTTCATAAACGTCATACTATTTGTTGATTCTCTCGAGTGCATAATCATTATGTTATTTAGATTTTCAGTTTTTTTTTTCAGTCACATATATTGACTTTTTTTTTTTTTTGAAAAAAGAAAAATTGCTGCAGAAAATTTATGACTCTTTCACTCTGGGAATTAATGTTCTCCATTTCAGCTGTTGTTCTAATGATTAAAGCAATATACTAGTTTATTGTAATTTCTGATTGTCTCATGGGCGCATTAAATACTCATCTTTAATCAATCAGGATTAGAAAGTTCTATGTTGGCCTTATTATATAGATATTGCTTATTTTTCTGTTCAAGGATAGTCCTTTGAGCCCTTTGTTAACTTGTACTTGCTTTGTGGCATCCAGAACTTTCGGAAGATGAAGCTGAGGATCGCTTGCAAGAAGCAATTCAGGAAAAGTTTTCCGTATTCGGTGATGTATGTTCCTTAAAGTAAAATAGGAACTGTTTAATGTAGATTTTATTTCATTTAGGTTTTGTTCACAAAGGATTTGCACATGGTGTAATCAGTAGTAATGTTTTATCTGGAAATAAATATACTGCCTAATTTTGTTTTATTGGTATTGACAAACTACCCTTTAAGTGATGATTTTTCCATTGGAAAAATATTTGGTAGGTTAAGACGAGATTATGAGTGCAATAATTGCTGTACAATCTGAAAATTGGCAGCTGATCATTTGATTTTGTGAACTTCTTCTGACAAGGAATTATCATAATACATCATGGGGGATGGTATAGATGTAAGAGGGAGATCTAGATGATATTTTTTATTCATTCTCTTTACAATAATATCATTGCCAAAAGGAAGAATCTGCTACTTTTCCCCTTTTTTTTTGTCGGGGGTGCGGAAGGCGAAGGGGTATCTCTAGACCAAGTAACTCAGTCATCTGTCTAAACTCTAATTAGGTGCTTGATTATTTATGTTGCTTTGTTGTTATTAGGTTGGTATGTTGGCATAGTGTTTGAGCACCATGTTGTTGGTATAGTTTTTTCTGCTTTGAGTTGTTTGCTAGTCATTTAAGACCACAGCTTGGGACACTGGAGGTATATTTAGTTGTCCTGGTAGTATCATTTGAGGTATGGTTTGAAGACAGGTTTGAGTGGTGGAATGAATGGTTATGGAAAATTGTTATGGGTGCAAGAACAACACTCTGCAGTTTTATGGGACAATGTGATTTCTCCTTTGTGCAAGTAATGAACGCAATCACGCACGATTAGTGAGTTTACGTTGGCAGCCCTTGCCTACTTCTTGTTTGAATTGACTCTCTATGTAACACAGATTCATGAAGCTATCCTTCCATGGTACGGTGCAAAATTTGTCCGTTTGTTCTTTATTCACAAGGAGGTGGAAGTTTCATGGCTTGAGGACCTGAGGTTTTGGTTTTTGGAGCACATATGGCCGGTTTCTACAACTTATTCACACATTGTGGCCAACTGCCTTCTTATTGAACATACATTCCAGTTTTCTCATGAACCCACTATCCTGGAGTTTCTTGCGGCCTCATTTTATCTTTTGGGTTCTGAGTTCGTAATGCACGCAAGGACTGTACTAGATTGTGAATCGCCAGTAGTGTTGAGTGGTTTTATATGAGCATAGTAAGTGGATTTTGCAGTTGCAATAAGCATCTTGAGCACTTAGTCACCCATTCTTGAATGAGTAGTCCATTTCAGTGTTATCTGGTTGTGTGATATGTCTGTTAGGGTGTTGGCATACTGGTTTGTTAACCTATTGCCCTGAATATTTGGGCAAAATGGCTTCTGTACTTTTGAAGAGGTGCGTGAATTTCGACGTGGAACACGATGATGACATTATTAGATCAATGGCATTTGTCTAAGTTGTGGATACTGCTATAAGAGATATAGGCAATTTTTATAGTTTGACTGTTGGGCTGTTTATGCCTAGCCAGTAAAAGTATTGCCTCCTCTTCTTTGCTTTTGCTTTTCCCCTCCCCCCCTTAAAATAAATATTTATCTATAGCTAATGATGTAAAAAATATTCTTTGCATATTGAAAAAGAGAAGGCCAAACTTAATCGATACTGTTCATGAACCATCATGGACAGTGGTGTGGTGATGATCCTCTAGAACTTAGGGTTGGATCAATTGAGGAAGAGTTGTTCACAAACTAACGTTGTTCTTATCATGAGAATTCGAGCTTCATTATTTAATGAACTTTGCTTTTTTATGAATCAATTGATAGATCTAAGTACAGGTGAAAGTTGAACACATACGCACCAATTTGATCAGTATAGAGGCTCAGGGTTGTGACTTGTGAGATAATTTATAGTATTTCTGTTATTGATTTTTGGTGAACATTAATGGTTTTGCTATTCTCTTTTTTGATGTATAATGCATTTAAATATTTCAGAAAGATCATCAGGCCATTGATATCCTTCTGGCAGAGATTGATATATACGAGCTTTTCGCATTCAAACATTGCAAGGGACGGAAGGTTAAGCTTGCTCTTTGTGAAGGTAATTTTCTGTTCTCTGATTGCACAAGCTTTCATTGCCAGGAACAATCATTTTATTAGTGTATTTAGTTCACATATAATGTGAAGCTTTTCTTTGATTGCAAAGTTCATGCCTGTTGTCATGCTTTTGGTTTCTAGGTTGCTTTGTATGGATGAAATTATATCTACATTTTTTTTAACAAAATTTTTTTCTCTAACCTTAGATATTGTGGGCCTAGATCTTCGATGGTTTAAAATATTTTATAATATTCTGGAATTATGTTGTTTACGTATTATGTAGGTCTAATTATGTGAAGTCTTTACTTGCTCATGTTTTTTATGATAAATTTTGGTTTATGTTTTTAGAGCTTGACGAGCGAATGCGAGATCTAAAAAATGAACTCCAGTCTTTTGAAGGCGAGGAATACGATGAAAGTCATAAGAAAAAGGCTGTAGATGCTTTAACACGAATGGAGAGTTGGAATTTGTTCAGTGATACTTATGAGGTATGCTGTTTGCTCATTTATTTTGTTCCATCCTTTTGCGTGGGCCTGTGGATCAGATATTCTCCTAATCCGACGTGGATAGGGTAGTTTAATGGTTCACTTCTCTTCAAATACAAAACTGAATTGGTTTATATTTGGCTCTTGATCGGATAATCCTGTTAAAACTGAGAATAATGCAAACATCTTGAAAATTTGCCCAGAGAAAATCAAGCATATTAGATTACAATATCACTTTTGAATCTACAGTCAACCAACATATACAACCTAATAAAGGAAAAAAATAGCAAAAAAAGAAAAAAAAAAATGAAAATGAAAGAGGAAAATGGAACAAAATGGTATTTTATTTCAACAAGTATCATAGATGACAATCAAATGGATTTTTGAACATATCATCTCATTTGTTGTTGTTGTAAAACAGGTTTTACTCTTAAAAAATTGATCAAAAAAAAAAAAAAAAATCAATCTTTTACAAAGAAAGAGGTGAAAAATTGTTGGATAGAAGGAAATTAAAGGAAGTGACTGAGAGGATGGAGGTTGAACATGAAGATCAAGGCCACACAGATCAATCATTATTTACAATTGGTAGAGGGAGGGAGAAATCCTAATGGTTTTTGCTTTTACAACTGATGCATACATGGGCAAAGTTTTTATGGTTGATATTAAAGATGGTTTTAAATTTTATTGTATTATAACCATTAAGTTATCTATTAGATTTTGATCACACAATAGATCATCTACGATATCTAAAATATTGGATCAAGTTTCGATTTGTTTGTGTCAGAGTCCAATACATTGACACTCTACTTCCTTTACATGTGACAGATTTGATATATTTATGTTCCCGTGACACATTGGAAAACTATTAATTTAGTCATGTATTCCATTAATCCGTGGTACACATACTGACAACAAATTCTTCAGTGTCACGCTTACTGACAAGAATTCCCACTCCCCAAAAAAGAAAAAGGAAAATTTAGTCAGAAAAATGCATATCTTCAACATAACATTATATTCTTGTGCAGGAGTTTCAAAACTACACAGTTGCACGTGATACTTTCCTTGCACATTTAGGTGCAACCTTGTGGGGATCTATGAGACACATCATATCACCTTCCATTGCTGATGGGGCATTTCATTATTACGAGAAGATATCATTTCAGTTGTTCTTCATCACACAGGAGGTAAGATGTTTATGATGAGGTCAAAGCAGTTTCTATTTCATTGAGAAATTATCTTTACTCTAAATTTAATTATGCAGAAAGTAAAACATACTAAACAATTGCCAGTGGATCTGAAGGCTCTTAAGGATGGGCTTTCTTCTTTGGTGTTACCTTCTCAGACACCCGTGTTCAGTGAACACATGTATGTATTTTGCACGTTGCTCTTTCAAGTTTACTATATTTTCTAATGTTCTAAGGAGTTCCAGTGACTTAGTAAACTTTGTTTATATATATATACGATTAATGGTAAGAATCAAATCTCTCAACTACTCCCTCCCTCGTAGATGCTATGAGCTCATCCTGGTACTAACTGTTGAACAACAGTTTTTGCCATTTCTAGTACTGAAAAGGAGCCAAGCTGCACAAAAATTGCTTTGGCTCAGGTAATTTATTAGCTCTTTCAAGTTCATTAAGTAAATAGTCCGAGCTTCAGCTCTAGTTCAATGCTTGTTACTTCAATGAATCTCCCTTGGGCAGCGTGGTTGGTTGACATTTGAATATATTTTCGCGATCTTTTGAGATCTGATATATATATATATATATATATTTTTGTATACTTCTCCAAATTTCACATTACATTTGAATATATTTTAGCGATCTTTTGAGATCTGATTGTTGGCCTATATTCATTTATAACCAAGTGGGGTTCTATTGGATGACTGCAGTCGAACGCTTATTAGTGCGCAAGCTTAGTGTGAGTGCCTTCATCATAACCTATCTGGTTATTCCTATTCTTAATACATTTTAAATAATCAGGTACATATGACCTAAAAGAAAATGAGATAAAAATAACTTAAATAACTAAGACAAGGAAACTAATACGAATAGGACCAAAAAAAATAGGCAGAACGTGTTGTCAGCCAATAAATGATGCATTCAAGTGCCTAGCATCTCTTCCTTTTCTTCTTCTTCTTTTTTTCGTCTTCAAATTCATATAGATAATAGATATTATATATATAAATATTTGAATAGAACATGTACGTTGTAGCAAGGGCTACCACAATAATGAAATTACTTTTGTTTACTAGATTTAGATTCTTTAAAGAAAGAACAAAAAGTTGTTCAATGAATTTTGGAGGGGCCACGTGTAAGTTCTTTTTCAAACCACCCTTTTTAATTATTAAGAGGGACGAATAAACAAGGTTTTCAACAAAATTTTGAAGGACATGTAAATTCTTTTTTCAAATTTGCCATTATTAAGAGGACCCAAAACAAGTTTTTTTTTTTTTAAAAAAATTAGGGGAGCCATAACCCCTCCAGGTTGAGCTCTATACGAGCCAATCTTGTGCTTTGGTACTTGGCTGCTGAGGCGAGCCTAAAAACTCAGATATTCAGCTTCACTCAGCTTATTTGCTGCCCTAGCCACTTGGTAAACTGTGAAAATTTTATATTCCAGCAAGTGGTTCCCCTAAACTATTTCTTCAATATTTTATAATGCTGCCATCTTAACAAGATATCAGTGTCTAAACTTGCCTGTTCATTCTAGTTTCTTTCAGTGATCAGGTGCAAGGGTGGTTTTCATTATAATCTTAAATGGTTCATACCTGAATTGATATTGTCAACTTTTGTAGGTTTCCACTTTCAGAGGATCCTACTTTAGCAATGGCATTTTCAGTGGCGCGGAGAGCGGCAGCCGTCCCACTATTGCTTGTTAATGGAACATATAGGAAAACTGTGCGTTCCTTTCTTGATTCTTCCATTCTCCAGCGTCAGTTGCAGAGGTTGAATGATCATGGTTCTCTTAAAGGTTCTCTACTGCTTAATTTTTAATTTGCTATTTTGTCGGTCCTCCAAATCATTCTAAGAAAAGTCCATTTCTTTTGGGGTTTGTTGTCCTTTTATGAGAAGGATGGGGTTCTCACATTTGTAGATATTTTCTCACACTCTGGGCTCTGGTTGGCTCGTGTCATGCATATGAATACAAGTCTTCAGTGGCAAGATTTCATGCACAACAGTGGTGCTGAAAGCTGCCTTATTGACAGTCTCAAAAAATCTAAAAATGAATATGTGATGTTGATTCACAATAATACATCCTCATATACTTTATTCTTTAGTATACTGTATATATAGCACCAATCTGAATAAAAATTATTTTATTATGTTTACTACTTAGTTCATTTCCAATCTCTGGTTTTACATAGATTATACTTACATTTTGGGAATATGTGGTGTGTTTTAATTTTGGCGGTGGACCCTGCTTTATTTTGTGGATGGTTAAATGTCATAGAGTGTAAATAATTACTAATTGCTTTTGTAAACATAACATAAAAGACGTGGAATCAGCTACTGATTTGTACTGCCAAATATTTTTCTTAATTAGTGAACTCATAAAGTAAAGCGTGGTTTCTGGGTCAAGACTGAGTTAGTGGTAAGGGCCACAGCTTGCCTACTATCGAGGTTTAACTAGTGGTTGATTTATTTATAAGTTGTATTCTTGTGTTTAAGGAATCATATCATGTAGAAGTGATTATAGACATCTGCTTTAAACTATTCACTTGACCTGATAAACTATTGACCCATGTTGTATATAGATGCTTATATGTTCTAGGATTGGAACTACAATGTTTTTTTCTCCTGTGCAGGAACCCATGCCAATAGCAGGTCCACGCTAGAAGTCCCAATCTTTTGGTTTATTCATAGTGATCCATTATTAGTTGACAAGCATTATCAGGCAAAAGCACTCTCTGATATGGTTATCGTGGTCCAGTCGGAGCAGTCATCCTGGGAAAGCCATCTGCAGTGCAATGGGCAGTCGCTTTTGTGGGACTTGAGGTTGAAATTTCAGGAATTGAATAATGAGTTTTTTATATTAAGTCTAAGCATTTTATCCTTTAATACTGTCAGTGTAGTTTAATGTTAAATCCAAACTCTCAGAGAATTCCACAGATTTATAGAATTTGAGTTAATGAGAAGTGACATATCATTTATCCATGGAAATAAAGGCAAAACGTAAGGATGAGCGTATTCTTATTGTCTTGTCATTATGGGAGTTTTGTCATGCATCTAATTGATCAATGAAATGATGTAAATTTTGAATGGGACGCCTTGGTTTTGCAGAGTAATGCACGGCAGCCATGTTGGACGACCTTGCACATTTCTATAAAGATTTGAACCAACAACTCATCCTATATGAGGCTTTGACTGCCTGACCTAGATAAACTGTTGTTTTTAAAGTCAAGGATGAAACTTGCAAAATTGTATATGATAAATTCCTTGTTATGCACAAGAAACATGGAATTTTTTATTGCATGCTGGTGCGTGACAGATAATATCTTGAGAAAATTGAATTTAGTATCCCATTGTGAATGCTAACTGTTAGGTAGTACAACGACCCCTTTATTTTTCTAACTGTCTATTTATGAAAAAAGAAAAGAAAAAGAAGACCTGAATTATATTTTATTTTATTGGTTGCTTATTGAAAATATCACCTGGAATACTCTTTCCTCCGCATATATAAAGCATTTTGAATCATGGGACTGATATTTTTTTTCCCTCTTCAATTAACAATTAACCATCTCAGGAGGCCCATAAAAGCTGCATTGGCTGCTGTTTCTGAACATCTAGCGGGTTTGCTTCCTCTTCATCTTGTTTACAGTCACGCCCATGAAACTGCAATCGAGGTACGCCATATGTGGAGGTGGAGCTCCGTATTCTATTTAGTTTTTTAGTTCTGCTCAAGAAAGTGGTGGTGGCAGAATCTGGATGGACATTTTCTTAAGCCACGATCTGATAAAGCATGACATTTTCATTTTTTGCATGTGAGAGGCACATGCATATTATTTTTGCATGTCTTTAAACGTTACTAAATGGTTTCGATTCTACTCCCTCCCCCGTTTTGACACGATCAGATGATCAGTATGTTTTTGTTTTATTTACTGCATTTTTTAAGTTTTTTATTTTTATTTTTAAGTAACACTTTTTGAAATTTCTGTTCAAATAAAAAATATATATATATTTAACAGTGGAAGTCTGAGGATAATTTTTTTTTTTTTTGGGTGCTAAAATATTCTATTTTGACTTCTTTATTTATTTATTTTTTTGGGTTAAAAGGCAATATTGTCAATCCATGCAGGATATTGTGGATAGCTTGAGAGCTTAGGGTTGTTTTGGCTCCTTGAAGTTGTACATGGGCGAATTCCCTGTTTGAGCACTTTTCTAATATACTTTAAAAAGAAAAAAGAAAAGAAAAAAAAGTGGTTTATTTTGTCGAGTATGATTTTGGTAAACATGTAACACTACAGTGCTCTGAATCTTACTTGACCCTAAGTTTTCAACCACAAATGTTTCTGGCCCCATAATGTGAAAATTAGATTTTTTATTTATTTATTATAAAAGATCTTACATTCATGTAATAAATATAGTGCCACAAATCCATTTTGCGAATCAGATGTTGAAAGTTCTAGAAATACAACAATTAATTTGCCACTCTAACTCTTGTAATGTATTTACTGCCTTCCAAATATTTGCAACTCATTTCATTTTTAACTTGATAGTATTATCAATATGGTGTATTTGTACCCGTATCTTGTTGGCTCCAAATATTAGAAGTTTCATGCATGTTTGTATGTGTTTACTTTCTTCCAGAACATCTTTAACACTAAACTATTGGTTTGAAAGATTTTTCTTGCAGTTGGTTTCAAAATAGTGATATATTAAGCTACCAGTAGTTTTCCATATTGAAGAAAACGTAGAAATGATTTCAATGCAGTGCAGCGAATATTTCAATTTGATTATCAATTATTTGGTTTTAGTTTTAATTCCATCTAATTATCAATTATCAAAGAACTTCGCTGGTTTCTGAATTGTATGTCTGAAATGTAATAGGACTGGATATGGTCGGTAGGATGCAACCCTTTGTCCATCACTTCTCAAGGATGGCATATCACACGGTTTCAGTCTGATACAATTGCTCGGAGTTATATTCTCACAACTCTTGAGGAGTCGATACAACTTGTCAATTCAGCCATTCATCTTCTAGTTATGGAGCGTACTTGTATCCTTTGTTGTGGTATTATAGGCTTTGTAGCAGATGAATATTTCAATGGCAAATTCAACCTAAAAAATTGCAGCCTCCAACCATAATGATGTGAAAGAGAATTTTGGTTATGGCAGAAACAGAGCTGGGGACATCGTTCTGCTCTTCTTATACATTCATTAAGAAAACAAAAGACTTGGTAACAAAATGTTCTGATGTCATTATCTTGTTTAATCAAGGATTTTATAAACCCACCACAAGAATAGACTTGATTTAAATAAAGTTCCATCTTTGTGCAGTTTGGTTGGTTCTTGTGCTATTTTAGCAAGATGAAAAAGGAATAGGACCTGCCAAATTGTCATTCTTCACTTGATTCATAAACTGAAGTAGATGTCAGTTCAATTTGATTTTCACTTGATTTAGCAACATGAATTCTTACTTATTTATTTTTGCAATTGTTGATTTTGGGAGCATTGCTGTAAAATAAAGTTCTTTAGATGGACTTTAACTACAACTAGCTGAAAAAACTTTCAAGCTTTTCCAATCCCAGGAGCGTGAGCTAGTGAACAAATATAACTACGTTGTCAGCCTGTGGAGAAGGGTGAGTACACTGTTCATCACCATTTTCCTGTACAAGTCCGTGTGTGTGAAGAACTGTTCAATTATTAGAGTCCTTATTTCTGGTTCTTTTCCTTTTTCAAAGTTTAGGGTTCACATATATTTTGGGTTCTTTCATATTTTTTGGTGTCTTTTCAGATTTCGACCGTTACTGGAGAACTGCGCTATGTGGATGCTATGAGACTGCTATATACCTTGGAGGATGCATCCAAAGGGTTAGCCATTAAAATATTTGTTGCTTTTAAATTCAGCAGTCTTTGATGAATATCTATGAAAATCTCCAGTGTTAAAATAATTGTGTACTCTGAACTTCATTTGCAGTTTAAGCAATTTGCATATATAAACACACACTGTATATATATGTACGTCGTCTATTACTTATCAATCTAGATAATCATCGTAGATTCTTTTCTGATCTTGTCAGGCATATGATCTGGTATGTTAGGCACATGCATAGACTTATATGTGTGTGAATATATATCTTGATCACTGCACGTCTGGCATTCACATTTTCCCTGTAACCTATTTGTAGGTAGATTAGACTCTTTGTAGTTACACTTACTCCTTGATGCAGTCTAACCAAATTTGCAGTCTATTCTCCATTGGATGCAAATTAGAAAGTAGTTCTTTATGAGAGAACTGTAAACATAAGCATCAAGAATTTCAGGCAAGAAATATTTTCAATTAGAAATACAAGCTTCATCCAAGCCTTGAAGTGCTTATGGGAGTTGAATCTCTCAAGGACGCACATAAAAGGGTTTGTATCTAGTATTTAATGTAAAGAAAACATGAGAAAAGAAGTGTAATTATCATTGTGATTTACCACTTACATGGACAGTTTGGCATTGGAGTGAACAAAATGTTGTTTAAATCAGCTCATTTTGAAACTCACTCCTCTTGCAGGTTTGTTGATTATGTGAATTCAACTATATCACATCTCCATCCAATTCATTGCACCAGGGAGAGGGAAGTTCAAGTTGAGTTTGATATGAGCACGATTCCTGCTTTCTTGGTAGTCCTCGTTGTTCTATGGATTGTGTTAAGACCAAGACGATCAAAGCCTAAGATCAACTAAAGTGTTGATGAGTGCAAGGTACCTGATTATGTTGTATCGGAGCAGACTGGTAGGGTTTTACATTCCCAAACCAAGCCCCGCTCATTATGCGGTAGCCATGAAAATATAGGTTTCTTGTTATATTTTGGGGAAGCAAAGCCTGTCTTGTTGCTGTTGTTTGATTGAAAATTAGGGGAGAGAAATGTTCAATGCCCATGCAAAAACGATTTAAGTGCAGTTATAGGCTTTTAGAATTGTACACAACCTTTTTGCCAATAGTAAAATAGAAAATTTTGCACTGTCATGCAGATTCATCAGGGTCCTCCGTTCCGATTTCTTTTTGTTAAACATTGTTACGCTTTGCTCCTATGTTCTGATTTAAATTAAGAATTGACTTGGGGGTTGTTAACTTAAAGTAGTGCTAACATCTTTTAATCCAACACACACACACACTTGAAGCAAAACAATTTACTCTCACCAAAGGCTTAGTCGGTTTGTCTTAATTTTAACGTGGCATGTCTATTTTTGTTTTCCCCTCATCCCATTCCATACTGGGAGTGGTAGTTGTATTGCAGGATCGCGTTTGATCGCAATTTCATGCCATTTGCATATATATATATTTTAAAAAATTTATTCAAAAAAAAATTTTGTGCTAGACTATCATGATGGGTGGTCTCTTGTTCATTTATTTAAAAGTTTAAACTGTTGGGTAGTGTTGCATAGTCATCCATTTATACCCCATCACTTTCTCAACCGGATCTGATGTGTGACAAATGACCCTTGTTACATTCTTCCTCACCCAAACTCGCAATGCCCTCGTTGCGGCTCAGGCCACCTTGTTTATTCCGGGGTGTTCACCCAGAAGCGTTTCAGGCCATGCGCTTGGCGTGATACCGGATCAAGGAGTGTGTTTGGCTCTGATACCAATTATGATGGGTGGGCGTTTGTCTATTTACTCAAAAGCTCAAACTGTTGAATAATGTTACATACTCACCTATTTATACTCAATCATTTTTCTATCCAGATTCGATGTGAAACAAATGACCCTTGTTACAACTATCTTAATCAATAGCTACATCCACAGGACTTGCAATTATTATTCCAGCAGGGTCAGCCTACAGTGCCAAAACTAAAGTTGCATCTAGGATTGATTGGGTTAAAATTCACTCTCTTATTGTGAAACAAAAAGTTAATATATATATATTAAAAAAAGGAAAAATTAAAGGGAAAACTACATATAAGTAGTGTTAGTAGTTTCAAATAATAAAATAGTCTATTTTAAAAGTTCATTTTTCAATTTGATTGAATTAAATTAAATAATTACAAATGTATCAATAATTATTATTAAGGGCCAAAATACCCTAAAACTCTTATTTCAAATTACCTAAATATCCTTAAGATAATATAATTTCAAAATGGATGCCTCTTTAGTTGTTATTTCCTTCTTCAATAAAATTGTTTAATTATGTGTGTGTGTGAATTGTTTAATTATCAACAAAATATACCCCGTGTGTGTGTGATCTATACTAAGACCAAATTCACAAGACTATAAAATAAATAAATAAATAAACTTGTCAAAAGAACCTATACTATTTTGATAAGAACACAGGAGGGAGGTAATGATGAAATCATTCTTTTGCAGCTCCTCTGAGTGTTGGAGAAAAATATTCCAACTACTAGGAAATAAGAGAGATACCCTTGCTAAGTATATGAATGACCCAATTGCTTTTTCAAACTCAAATCAAAGAGAAGAGGCCAGAACGAATTATTGAAACCTTGTGGGGGTGTATCCAACGCGGGAGAGAGTGGATCTGTAAGGAATTGAATAAAGAAAGTACTAACAACCAGAAGAGGGTATTGTGGATTATAAAAATAAGGAGGCTATCATATGTTGTACCCATACAGACAGAGTAATATAGAGAAGATGTGTAAAATAAATTTAGGTTTGTAAGAGACTCTATAATCGCTCCTTTTGTTGCAATGGATTCGATTTTTTTATGAATTTTTTCTCTCTCTCATGCACAACACTTTTACCAAGCAGAGAACCACCGACTTTAGTAGGGTTTGATAGTTTCCGATTTTTTTTGGTATTTTGCAATATGTGATATTAAGAAGGATATTTTGGTATTTTGGACTGAGAGATTGGTGGGCATTTTAGACCTTAACAAAAAATGTTGATTTATTTGTAATAATTTTGTTTAATTCAATCAAATTGAAAAGTAAACTTTTAAAATAGCTTATTTTGTTATTTAAGACTCTTAACTCTATCTATAATTTTTCCAAAATTAAATACATTGTCTTTATTAAAGGATTAAATAGACAAAGCTTGCCCTATTTACACAGACATAATCTAACACCGAGTTTTCGGTTTTCCTCAACTTTGGTGTGTTATTACAAATGTCATAGGTCCGTCCGTCAAAAAAAAAAAAAACGAAAAGAAAAAAGACTTGGTTTGAAAACTAGTTACGAAATGTGTTTTTAAGGATAAGGGCCTTTTGCGTAATTGCAGCAGTTTACGTTTGACAAATGTTTTTGTTGAGAGAAATGTGTTGGTTTGGTCGTTCTTAGGCTCTTAGCTTTGGCATCTCCGTCACGTCTTTGTTTACATTACATGACCAATTCTATATAAAATTCTAAATCCATAATTTCAAAATAAATCCATAATTATACTTTTAAATAATATGCAGAAGAAGAAACAGAAAGTTCAGAGAAGAACACAAGCACGCACGCAACAAACAGAACCAAACAAATATACAAATATATTACATGCATTATTTGCATACAACACCATCGATTACGAGAAAGATTACGAGAGAGAGAGAGAGAGAGAGAGAGAGAGAGAGAGAGAGAGAGACATAATATTTGGCTTTTGGGTTCTTTCAGAGATCAGCTGAAGTAGTCTCTGCCTTCCTCGTAAGCCTCTTCGCCTTCAAGGTCACCTCTCTCTCTCTCTATCTTTAATTTTTGGGAAAGGTTTAAATTCTCGTTGCTTTCTTCTTCAAGGATTAAAATTCTGTCAAATTTATGGATGATTTTTGAGAGGTTTATCGGATTAGACGTTAGCCTTTTCATGTATGCATGCACTTAAATGTAGTTCTCTGGATTTTCCCTCACTTTATATATTTATTTTCATTCTCTCTCTATGTATTATAACTTTGGATTTTTTTCTGCTTTATTTCTTATAAACTCAGTGGCCACTAGATTAATTATGACAATACAAAGCAATCGCAACTTAAAAAAGTTGCCACTATAAAAGATTAATCTGATATAAAAGCAAAGTGAAATCATGTATTTACCTTACCATCACATCCCTGTCTAAGTTATATATGAAAATATATTGATATAATACATTTATATACACACACACACGCAGCACTTATGTGTTGTTTACATATGTACATTCGAAATTATTTTCAGAAGTTCAGAGTTGGAATAGGGATGTGCATTTGTTCAATTTTTCATTTTTTATTTTTTACTTATTATTGTCATATTTGCATTTTCACTTATTCCTGTTATGCTTGAATATGTGTTAACAATTTTAACTAATATTACTTCAGCAAAGACCAAATTATAGCGGAAACAAGAAAGGGTTATTATAAAATTTGGCTACAAACTATAATTGGAAAAAAGTCTGAAAAGATAATAGATATATGCGAGGAAGTCAAAAAATTTGTCAGACCCAAGTGTTCAAAGTGCAGGGAGTTCAATTGATCGTCGAATCTGAGTTGGATTGATCGAAACTCGCTCATTTCAGAGTAGGTTTCAAAATTTTAACACCCTAAGCTTTTTAGCCTCGTAAGTCTATATAAGCAATCCTATGTTTTCAGAAAACACCACCAACCATGCTGAAGCATAGAGAGGCATACTTTAAGCAATGCTAGTCTTCTAATATATATTGCGCTATGTTTTACAAAAACTCAAACCTAGATATATACTACTAATTCTCATCTGTTTTGCCTTTTTTTTTTTTTTTTGCCATTTTATTTCTGAAATAAACGAAATGATGTTTTTTTTTTAATTACATTTTTGGTAGAGTTGATGAAAATTGGAAGTGTCGACTAAAGATCATGAATCACAATAGGAAGAGGACGCGAGCTCAGTGTACCAGCCCCGAACAGGTTCATAATTTATTGACCCCTCAATCAAAAGCTCAATTATCACGGAATGGAATATTCACATCTTCCTATCTGCCCGAGTGTGGACAAACACAATCACTCCATTCACTGCCCCAGGAATCCTTGTTCCAACTGCAGAATTCGAACACGAGCCTTGGCTCAAATAAGCTTTTGACTGATAGTTTACGCCACCAGAATCAACAGAGCCCATTTAATGAACCATCTTCGTTTGGTACCAATCTACATGTGTCATCTTCAACAAGCTCAGAGACAAATCAGCAACATGGAAATCAACACTTCCTCTCACATGTCCCGGCATATGACCAGTCCACTTCTGTGGCTAATTCTTCAAAAAATCCATTAATTGTGGGTGGAGATGTGATTGATAGTTGCGACACAGAAATTTCAAAAGACTCGACGAAGAAATTTCATAATTTATTGACCCCTCAATCAAAAGCTCAATTATCACGGAATGGAATATTTACATCTTCCTATCTGCCCCAGTGTGGACAAACACAATCACTCCATTCACTCCCCCAGGAATCCTTGTTCCAACTGCAGAATTTGAACACGAGCCTTGGCTCAAATAAGCTTTTGACTGATAGTTTACACCACCAGAATCAACAGAGCCCATTTAATGGATCATCTTCGTTTGGTACCAATCTACATATGTCATCTTCAACGAGCTCTGAGACTAATCAGCAACATGGAAATCAACACTTCCTCTCACATGTCCCGGCATATGACCAGTCCACTTCTGTGGCTAATTCTTCAAAAAATCCATTAATTGTGGATGGAGATGTGATTGATAGTTGCGACAGAGAAATTTCAGAAGACTCAACGAAGAAAATTCATAATTTATTGACCCCTCGATCAAAAGCTCAATTATCACGGAATGGAATATTTACATCTTCCTATCTGCCCCAGTGTGGACAAACACAATCACTCCATTCACTCCCCCAGGAATCCTTGTTCCAACTGCAGAATTCGAACACGAGCCTTGGCTCAAATAAGCTTTTGACTGACAGTTTACACCACCAGAATCAACAGAGCCCATTTAATGGATCTTCTTCGTTTGGTACCAATCTACATGTGTCATCTTCAACAAGCTCTGAGACTAATCAGCAACTTGGAAATCCACACTTCCTCTCACATGTCCCGGCATATGACCATTCCACTTCTGTGGCTAATTCTTCAAAAAATCCATTAATTGTGGGTGGAGATGTGATTGATAGTTGCGACACAGAAATTTCAGAAGACTCAACGAAGAAGTTCCTAGATTTAGCACGAGAAAGTTCTGTTGGTAGGTTTGATGGGTTGAGTTATGAGGAGGACAGCTTGACATTGATAGCTGAACTGGATTTAGAGTACTTGTCTGAAGTGCTCGACATAGACATATCCGAGAATGGGGAAAATCCCAGTGTTGAAGTGAGTACCGTACATATTTTTACATTTTCTTGAATATGAGGTACTGAATAGTACATGTATATATACATGTTTGCTTTAATTTGTTTACAAATGCCTCTATATATTTGTATTTCTGTTAACAGCATTGCTCCTCGATATTTTTAATGTTCATAATATGTAGGAGATTTACAAAGCACCACAAGTTGCATCAAACCCCACTGTTGGATTTGAATGCAATGAGAATCATGGTTCTTCAGTTGCACAGCCGTGTAATGGAATTAATCCAACGGACTGCCTTCCAGATGTTGCAGCTACAAATAAGCAAAGATTAAGGTGGACGACCGAGCTTCATGACCTTTTCTTAGATGCAGTCGAAAAACTGGATGGCCCTGAGAGTAGTGAGCAGTGCTTTTTGATAATGAATATTTTTGTGTGCGCGCAACTGTGTGTGTGTATATATATTATATCTGAATGGCTCATTCTTTTCATTATGAAATGTAGAGGCAACTCCTAAGACTATATGGATGCTTATGAATGTTAAGGGTTTGACCATCGACCACGTGAAGAGTCATTTGCAGGTATTATCAGTATTCGCATTTTGGATTAGGCATAGTGGTTAACAAACATCTATTCCTTTTCAACCGAGCTTGATGGGTTTATGATTTGCAGAAATATCGACTTCTCAAGAGCTTGGAAGAGCTAAAACATGGTATAATATTATCTTTTGAAATTGTTTTATGCTTTTGCTCGTTACTAAAAGAAATATCTTTGTCCAAACTATTTTCCAGCAGCCTGATTTTATTATTTTACTAATTTTATTTATTAAGAGTAAAATTTGAGACACAGCTTGGAGGATTAAGATTACAATAGGGTAACAAATTTTATCGTCTTCTTTCTCAGTACTGAACCTGGCTCTTCATCTTTTTGTGATTGCCCTCGAACTAATGTGATTCCTATTCATTCATCTAAGTTAAATGGTGCTTTCAGTCATTGCAGCTCTCTCTTTCGCTCTTTACGTAGGTGCAGTTTTAATTGCTTTGTTCCTTCTCCAATAAATAAACACGAGAAATACTATGTTCTTACCATTTTTTATAGACCATTATCTAGTATAGATATAAGTAGCAAGCAGTATGTATAGATTTTGGAAGTTTTGGTCCTTTTGGATGTCATTTGTGGTTGGTTTATTGAAATATTAACACAATATTCTTTGTGTTGTGCATATTGGTTCGGACTGCAAATCCTCTGATCCTTACAATTTACCCTTTCGTTGCTTCTAATTTTGCGGTTAAGACAAGACAGACAGCAGCTCTAAGGAAGATAAGCCAGCTTCAACGAGCAATAACAGTGGTGCACCGGCACATCCGGGAAGGTTAAGCAGCTCTGAGGAAGATAAGCCAGCTTCAACCAGCAATAACAGTGTTGCATCAGCACAACCGGAAAGGTTAATTTTAGTAGGTGGCCTTCATTTCTTCGTTATACTTGACTGATTCATGGATTGACTGTTAATGGTCTTCCTTGTAGCAGTGGCATGCTAGTCACAGAGGCTCTGCGTTTGCAAATTGCACTTCAGAAACAGCTACATGAACATCTGAAGGTGTGTTTCTATATCAGTTCAAGTCATAGCAATTAAATGGACAATACATCGACTTTTACTTCTTTTTTTTTTTTTCGTTTTCAGTCTCATTTATTTACTGTTGATTTTAGAAAGTCCTAATCTTATTATAAAATTTATTGTGTTTTCCAAAGGGGCAAAAGGAGATTCAGTTACGCATGGAGAAGAATGGTGAATACTTGAGAAAGATGTTGGAAGAACATAAAACTGGCAGCACCTTGTTCCCCGTCCATGGCCTACCGTTGTTGACAGACACCAATTCAGAATCTGAACTGCAGTCTCTCTCTGTATCAAATGATGCCTCACCAGACACCAGAACAAGCTGAGCCTAAAACAGATGGCTCGGAAGCTTCTAATATTGCTGAATCTGAGCGATCAAGATGTCACAAACGAGTTCGCTGTGACAGCCCAGAAAATAATTTCACTCAGACATAGCTTAGAATCTGAGTGTTTAAAAACCATACCAGAAACCAGAACTCATTATGCTTGAAAACTTTCAATTGTTTTCTGTTCTTCTATTTTCTTTTCTTTACTCAGAAATTCTTTCGTGGGTACAGTGCAATTTTGTCAATTTATTTTTTCATGCATATCCAGTATAATTTAGAAGCAAAATGGACTCAAAATAAACCCCATCAGGTTCCAGTCTACTAGCAACTTTCCTCCCACTTTTCTGAAACCCCAAACACAGCTTTTAGAATGAACCATCCCAACTCTCACCATCATCTTTCTTCATTAAATTTATTTCTGACCCAACCCATGCACATAGTGATAATGAACCATCCCAATGAATCAACCATCCTTAACATAGTGCTATCACATTTTTCATTATAATTTATTTTATTTTATTTATTTATTTTTAATTTCAGTCTGAAACTCTCAAGTTACTTTCGACAGTGGTTCTTAATTTTAGTAGATTCTAATTCTTTCTATTTTTCATACATCTAGTGTGGTTTGCAAAGGTACAAAAGGCTCTTTCTGAAAGACAATTGATAGATATTCTGATTTGAGTTGTTGGATCTCATAGAGCAGCATGGGAGAGTGCTTTGCTCTAGATTTCCGAAGAACAGAAGTTTATATCCCAATCCATCATCACCCGCCAATAATTTGTTTGATGCTTCAAATTTTTTTTTATAATTTTCTCTTCTTGTTTATTTTTTCTGTGGGTGAATTTCTAATTATAGAGTTCTTGTGTGGATCCTACAGAAACAATTTAGAAAGAGAATACGGACCAGTGGCCTGACAGTATCAGCTTCTTACTTCCCCAAGAGAGGTCATGGATTCAAGCGGTAGGAAAAAAAATATATATTAGAAAGAGAATACGGTTTGAATTTGGATTAACTTCTCCATTGATTCGGGAAAGCTATGGCCTTGTTTGGTAACCGCTTTTGCTTCGGTTATTTTTATTTTATTTTATTTTATTTTATTTTTTTCATATGGTGTATGTAACGACCCGAACCCGTAAGTCCGAACCGTTAGCCGAGTCTTTAACCGAACTCGAAGTCAATTAGGGACAACACCATTCTTTCCTTCGTCAATACATATTATACGTGTCATTCCAGGTTTATAAAAAAATAAGTAATAATAAATAAATAAATAATAATAATAAAATAAGATTATAACTACAAAGTATGTCAAAACGGTCTATTAACCCATCGAACCCTGTAGAGGAGCGTCGTCCGCCACTTGCCATCCGTGTCCTGAAAAATGTTAAATGTAATGGGGTGAGCAAATTGCTCAGTAAGTAGTGCCTAAGACCCACTTCTTGTAGTCCCGTGAATCCAAATAATGAATAAGACAATAGGGAACGGGGTCATACAAAGCCGGGAAAAAATACAATATACATTTTCAAGTCAAAAACAAAATAATGCCGTGCCATGAATGCAATGTCATGCATGTCACTCCCCATTTTTGTGATACCCTCGAATTCCCGAATGCGGGTTGGCCAGGCCCACGCCCGAATACACGAGGATATCAAAAACAAAATCAGCAATAAACGAACACAGAGTACAAAAGAATAAAGAAGAATAAATAAAATGCTGACAAAAAACTAAAATGATAATCTAATAATAAACCTCAGAATATATTTCCATTAATTAATAAACTTTTCTGATACAACTGATCCTCCAAAATACAACTCGGGAATCCATACTGTGTGGACCCTTAGAAAATCCAAACTAAACAAATGACAGCAATAACTGTCTAAATCAGGAAACTAAATCATAAAAAAACTCCTATGTAGCATCGGAAGAATGAAGTAGACTGATCTCCGCTCAGCACGAACAACCTCTACTCCTGACAAACACCTGAAAAATAATGATAGGTCAGGTCCACAAACAAGTTCTACTCTACTACAGTCCAAGCAGAGATCCGATACACGTATACATCCTAGTCAATCCAACAGTAACTAGTAGTCCGTATATATATATATATATATATATATATATATATATATATACACACACACACACACTAAATGAACCTCACTAGACTATAAGGTTGTCTTAATCTGAATAGTAGGCAACATACAAAATGCACATATAGTGGACATAAGTACCTAGACCTACCAGGATATACAATTACACTGTATCTAGCTACACATCCCTGATAATATACGCACCCTAACCACTGATCCTGAGACTCAAGCTCATATCATGGCACCATACTTATATATATATAATCTAGTAACCATCCTATTTAGTATAAATTAATCCTCCATAAGTCATTCAACTTGTTCAGCTGATCTGACTTGAATATAAGTAGAACTTAACATTTTAGTTAATCCATTCCCTTATATAATAAATTAATCCTCCATAAGTCATTCAACTTGTTCAGCTGGCCTGACTTGAATTGAATATAAGTAGGACTTAACATTTTAGTTAATCCATTCCCTTATATAAAATAGGTAGAACTTAACTGATAAGTTAATCCGTCCCTAGAATGCCACCGTCCCATACCGGTGCATTAAACCACACAATCCAACAATTGATGTAATGATTAAGGAAATACATAAAACAATAATAATTATGATAATATGACATCAAGTTATCACAAAATAAGAATAACTTATTATTTATTTAAACTTCCTATATCATATGTCCTACACAAACTGAATCTTATACATATGATGATATTTTATTATACCGTCGAATAAGCATTCTCCGTATCTAATTCATCCTACACATTTAATCTCAATTGCTAAAACATATTAAAAGATTAAATCCATTCGTTTGTTTAAAATATTCAAATAGCAAACATCATTATGATTGAGTTTATTTAAATTTATTTAAACCCAAACCTAGTTCCTATTTAATGTTCAGGAATCCTAGGCATGTTTCTACGTTCCATCATTCCACAGATATGAAAAATATATAATTTAAACATGTAAAATTCACATTGGAAATCAAATCAAAATCATGTATTTATCAATTCATAACACAAGAACAGATATGAACCAAATTCATAAAACCTATGTTCTAATCCAATTAAACATGCATAATTATTTAATTTTATATGTTTAATAAATCCTGGAATTTCCTAGGCATGTACAGAAACACGAATTAAAGGGAAAGAGATAAAAGAAGAACTTGCCTTAAACTTTCGGATTGAAAGTTAAACTTCGTCTTCCTTGATCTTCTCTTTACAGGGTTTTTCTCCTCCTTCATTCCTTTTCTTCTTTCCTTCTCTAACTCTCTCTCTCTCGAGAATATCACGTGAATATTTCTAACCTCCTTACAACCTATAGCTATATATTTATAAACTAAATAAAATAACCCTAACTCTTTTCCCAATCCAAGTCAACTTAAAAAAATATACATGTATTAAAATATTAAAAAGATAAGTAAAATATTTTACGTATATAATTTATGTATATCTTTATTAAATAAATAAATTATACACATCCCATTATTTATTAATGGATTATCCAATAATACCTAAGTTAATATAATATTATAAAGTAACTTAAAACATAACACGTATCAAATCTATGTATATTTATGTATATTTTTATTATTTAAATATAAAACATATACATCAGATTAAATATTACTATCCAAGTTATCATAAAAGTAATTAATAAATTACTTTCCCTTTTATATATGTATATAATATATATATATATATATATATATATATATATATATACATATATATACATAACTATCCATGGGTAATATTCCGTATCCATCCAACCTCTTATCCAAGTAATTCATGGGACCCAATTGGTTAACCCATTATTACTAACCATAACCATAAAAGAGAACTAAAAGAAAATAATATAATAAAAGAAAACATTTAATTTACAATTAAACAAAACACCATTTAAGCACATAATCTAATTAAACAATTAACACATAGACACATAATCAAATACTCAAGTAACATTTAATTCAATTAAACCCATAAGTAATTAGTCAAATAATCAATTAAATAATTAAAAATACAATTAAAATAAATAAATAAATACCGAGATTATCCTTTTAAAATTAGGGATATTACAATTTTTCAAAAAAATTTCATCATTTCACAAACTGTTAATATAACCCGCCATTTGGTGACTCTGCAGCGACACGAGAAAATGATTGACTGCTGTTCTTGACCTTTGGCACCTCCGCAGCGTCATTTAGGCCCAGATAGCTCAACTACGCTAGGACGATCTCCCTAATTCTCTCTAGGCTATATTAACACACATGCCTTTTGGTGACTCCGCGGCAACCGGGTTTTCTTAAAACCATTTTCTCAAATTTCTCCCCAAAACCCCCTTTTCAATTTCATTTCAAAACACTTTCCCTTTTCTTTCAAGCTCAATGCTTGTATGCATATCGCATGTCTTTTTAATATTATGGAAATTGAGAGAATTATTACCACACAATTAACATGCTTCCGTATAAAATTTCTAACAAATTATTAAGCATCATAGGCATAGAAAATTAACACATTAAGCATACTTTCCAAGTAAATCAGCAAATACACATAATTACATGGTTCATATACTCAATTAAATCATCTAAGGAACAATCAATTCAATTTAATCATACTTGATAACAATTAAAGTAGAAAAACTCACAAAGGAATAAGAATTTGAGTATTAGAGACCTCTACCTCAATGTAAGCCAAAAGCCCCAATTTGTGCCCTAGATTCCAAACCTCCTAGAGTGCACCAAACACAAAATTGCTCCGATCAACTTATAGATCTCGTCGTGGGCTTCAATTTGCCGCAAACGGCAATTAACAATACTAAGTATTGAAAGAGAGATCTAAGTTTAAAGATTGAAGTAAAAAGAAAAAGAAAAAAGAAGTGAGAGAGTGAGAGAGATATACTAGCGGGAGAGAGAATAGAGAGAAGAGAAAATGAGGCAAAAATTGCATCTTGATTCCTTTTTGATAAAGGTGTGAGTCCCACCAAAATATTTTATCTTTTTTCCTTTTTCCTTTTGTTTTTATTTTACACCACACACAACATATATACACATGTACATATTAATTTGCAACCACATAAAATATATTTAATAAAATTGATATGATGCAAATGGACCCAAGCAAAAACCCCGTGAGCAACAGTTCCGGTAGCGGGTCCCACACAGGACCGTTCAACACGAAAAACTGAAAAATGTGAAAATGGTCACCCTTGCATTTCAAAGAGTCCTGGACTCTATGAAATGTCCCAAACAATCTCTCGGACACAACTGGCGCACTCCGTAGTGCCCGGAACGCAAAACGGTAAAGACAAAAATGCCCTTGCAACGACAAAAATTCCAAAAAAAAAAAGAAAATGGTGAAAATAAAAAACATTACAATCTACCCTCCTTAAAAAAAATTCGTCCTGGAAATTTACCCTCCTTAAAGAAGGAGGCTCACAGTCACACACCTTCCCGAGAAACCTCACAAAACCCAAGACCATGAATTCACCAACTTTATTGCCTTTGACACCGGACGTCACTAGGCAATCACATACCACTGCCATTAAAACCAAATGCGGTACCCATCTTTCACCTCATTATGACATAAGATCAACTAGGCTCTACGCCTGACTTAAAACGAACATCAGTTTATTCTACACAGTCACGAAAGGTTCCAAAATTCAAGAAATGAATGGTCGCCGGACCACCGGACATAATAACGTCCAACCCAACTCATCCTCTAAGGGACACACTAAACCCCAAACAAGAAATCCCGTCCATCTCTCAATCCATCTCAACTCTAATCTACACGTCCCTGACAGACCAAACACTTGCTATCTAGTACGTAGCTACACCACCACATAACCGTACCAATAACTACTAATCGCAGTATATGACAATCACTATACTTATCGACCTCAAGATGACCAAACAATAATTCACCCAACAACTGCATAGACATTTGTCACCCAATCAGTAAAGCTGTAACGACCCTCACCCTAGCCAGACACAATATTGTCCGCTTTTGGCTCACCCAGACCAGAGACTTCCCAGGGGGTCACCCATCCTGGTACTACTCCAAGTTAAGCACGCTTAACTACAGAGTTCTGATGGGTTCACGGCCATCACGGCTTTAAAACGCGTTGTGTCATAGAAGGGTGTTGAATCTACATATAGCACTTGCCCCATCCACACCCAGACGATGTGGGATTGTGCACCTGTAGCTCACCCAGTGTGGTAGCCTACTGGTGCCCCCTGCACACGCTCACACACACCCGCCCACAAGGTCGCCACAATCACCCCCCCCTTTGGGGCCCAACGTCCTCGTTGGCCACACTTCCGGCTGGGTCAGGCTCTGATACCATTTATAACGACCCTCACCTTGGCCAGACACAATATTATCCGCTTTTGGCTCACCCAGACCAGAGACTTCCCAGGGGGTCACCCATCCTGGTACTACTCCAAGTTAAGCACGCTTAACTACAGAGTTCTGATGGGTTCACGGCCATCACGGCTTTAAAACGCGTTGTGTCATAGAAGGGTGTTGAATCTACATATAGCACTTGCCCCATCCACACCCAGACGATGTGGGATTGTGCACCTGTAGCTCACCCAGTGTGGTAGCCTACTGGTGCCCCCTGCACACGCTCACACACACCCGCCCACAAGGTCGCCACAAAAGCGCACTATCCTGTACCCAAGACATAAATCCTTGAAACAAGATCCTTAGTAATCAAACGGATTGGACACTTGGTCCCACCTAACACACCTTGTCACCGAGACAAACCACCTGAATCCACACAAGCACACCGACACAATCCGTAATTCCGTGCTCTAATTATTTTTGATAAACTAAAACAATCATGGACCTTTGACTCGACATTGTGCTAAAGATGGACTGACTCAGGATAAATGGTTAGCCAGGCTATTCTCATCAACGTTCCAATCTCAACACAGACGTCGTTCCTGTCCTCAGGTTTAAATCTCAAACATAAACCCACATAGTCCGCAAAATAACAATGAGATCCACTCACCAATAATCCATCCCTCTACGTAACATTAAGAACCATACAGTCATATACTTATTCTCAGAATCCCAACCATGCCTTAATCACACAATCATAACAAGTTAAAAGCAACACGACACCAAACGTCACAATCATCAACCCGTACAAAAGATCTATAATTTCCTCATAACACCCACACTAGATAAACGACTTCACAATATTATTCGATTCAATTCTTACCTTTTTAGAACACATAATACACCTGTCTCATGCCTGAAACCTCAAAACTAAAGTCAATCACTCCTATTATTCCTCGGTGAAACCATTTATTCTGTCTCTCTAGCTACTTAACACTCAAACGATACGAACACTTGTTCTCAAGATACTGCTTAATTCAGACATCAATAAAAACATCCGAACACATGACTCATATCACATCACCTAATCATCCTCAATTGTCGTTCATGACACATCTCCTAGCCATCACTGATAGTACCAAACACCGGAAACACAATTCCTATACGGCAACTCGTGCCTCACATTACACCGATCAAGACCATTCCCAAAACAAGCACTACAAAAACCCAAAGACTACACCTCCCTCTGTGGGAGTGAGTCGACCCATTTAACCAAACCTTTGCCAATAAACCCAAACAGCATAACAACCCACACACAAGTCCGTCCACCCACGGACGCGCACAACTCCTAAACGGAGAACAAAACTCATGACAAACGACTTCCTTGCCAGGACTAGAACAAATGGAAAGGGTAACGAACCCTACTCTCACAAGAGACTAACGACTCACACTTGAGTGCACCTGAGAACCTGTCACACATTATTCATCAATTGTCCAACCATGGACACCCAATCTCACTTGATATGAAAAGAGCTCCTTACGCATAAGGAGAAGAACCAACTGGAAACAAAATTGCTCCGATCAACTTATAGATCTCGTCGTGGGCTTCAATTTGCCGCAAACGACACTTAAAAATACTAAGTATTGAAAGAGAGATATAAGTTTAAAGATTGAAGTAAAAAGAAAAAGAAAAAAGAAATGAGAGAGTGAGAGAGATATATCAGCGGGAGAGAGAATAGAGAGAAGAGAAAATGAGGCAAAAATGGCCTCTTGATTCCTTTTTGATAAAGGTGTGAGTCCTACCAAAATATTTTATCTTTTATCTTTTTGTTTTTATTTTACACCACACACAACATATATACACATTTACATATTAATTTGCAACCACGTAAAATATATTTAATAAAATTGATATGATGCAAATGGACCCAAACAAAAACACCGTGAGCAACAGTTCCGGTAGCGGGTCCCACACGGGACCGTCCGGCCCAAAAAACTGAAAAATGTAAAAATGGTCACTCTTGTATTTCAAAGAGTCCTGAACTCCCTGAAATGTCCCAAACAATCTCTTGGACATAACCAGCGCACTCCGTAGTGTCCGGAACGCAAAACGGTAAAAGACAAAAATGCCCTTGCAACGACAAAAATTCTGGGAAAAAAAAATAGTGAAAATCGGAAACATTACAGTGTACTAGCGAACCAAAATACAAAAACGTGTTTAGTAACGTTTTTTGTGATTTGAATAATACCATTTGTGTTCTTTAAAAAATGGCCAAAACCCACACTGTAGCAACAACACTATAGAAATGAACAATACCTTAAGAAGAAAAACTCTTAAATGACCTTTTTAAGTTAGCAATTTTATTTTTCAAACTAGCGCACTTTTTTAAGAAATGCATCTCTTTTTTACCAAATATATTTTCTTGTTTTTGCTTCCAAAAATCTTGCAACAAATTTTAAATTATCACAAACAAAAACGTTATTTCTGTATACTGAAAAAAAAAAAAAAAAAAAAAAAAAAAAAAAAACAAAACGTTGTTTCTATAACGAATGCCAAACAGGCCCTACAATCTGAATAGGTAGGCTAGATTATTGAAACCTCTCATTTACAGTACTAGCCCAAGCTCCTCTCATGGGACCTTTTCTTCTTTAAGATCAAACAATTGCCTTCTTATTTACACGTTGTCTATGTTCTCTGTTACATAAAAGTTTTTGGAAAAGACTTACTAATTAAACCACAAGGAGCAGTGTCTTTATATAACCAAATAGATTCAGGTCAAGCTGAAATTCTCTATTACATTAATTATTCGCAAGCTTTTCCATTAGAGCAAAAGGGTATTCTCTTGCTAAAATAAAGAAGATACAGGTCAATTTGAAGTTCTCTTTGATGAATATTAATGCAAAACAAAACTTTGGTCAATAGCTTGCTCGGGCTTTACACACTGCATCTATCGGAGATGTATACGGTTTGATAACCTGCCACTAACTCCTCTTCCTCTTCTGGTAAATCAAAAGGTAACCTTCCACACTCCGCTAGGAAAGAAATTAAAAAAATGATAAACCTATAGGTTGACTTCACAAATTCCATCCCCAAAACCCATATTTTGACCGTGCTTCAACTATATCAACTGTACTTGAACTGTTAGATAATCAGTCGGTGATAACATCACTGTTTCCTTCGCTATTACAGAACCGTACACGAGATTTTCACAAGAAAATTTGAAAAAAATGCTAACTGCCAGTTTATATGAAATCACAACCCTAAGAAGGATATAGCACAAAAGGATACTAAACAATTTGGTAATTAATACCTCAAAGTACAGTTAAATAACCACAACAGGTTTAGAAAACAATTTTGCAATCAAAACATTGGATACTTAAAATTATCTTCTGTTGAAAGTATTATGACTACAATTTGAAGAGTTGGCACCACGAAATCATTAACAGGATCGCCCAAATTACACAGCTCAAATGGCCACAGCATGCAGTGAAACATTACTGTCTGTGGGCTTTGATGTTGGTCGATTTTTAACCATGCTCATCTTACTCAAATTTACTTAAAACACAACCCAACTCAACAAAATCTTAATTCAAACTGATTGGAGCCAACTACATGAATCTTTCTTCTCCAGTAATTTCAAACATACTTCGGAAGTGCTTATGCTGCCTTCTTCTCACTACCTTTTTTCTGGAGCGAAGCACTTAGAGCTACTTTAGTTTTCACCCACTCTCTCATGGAAGCATCACTCTTCATGAAAGGGCAAGTTTCACCGATTTCCCAGTCTTTGACAGATGTTTGCTTTCGTGCCGAATGTTGTTCTTTCCCAAGTGTTGGAGCAGAAACCTCGTTGTTCTCTTTGACAGTCTGGACATTATTTTCTGGAGTACTCTGCTCAACATTCAGATCAGTATCATTCCGATTCTCAGCCAAAGCAACCATATTGGAACTATTAGGAACATTCTCGTTTGTAATTCCCAAAATTCTAGGACCATCTCCTGGAAATTCACTTCCAGTTGGCTTGAATAAATTGCTATGTTTACTATCACTTGAATTTGTAGTATATATGCCATTGGGTTCCAGTATCTCTTGTCTTTCAAAACTACCTGGTAAAATCTGTGAGATGCTGAATGAACCTCTGTTTGTCTCACCAACCAGTTGTGTCCATGAGGATTTTTGTAGCCAAGAAGCACCTCTGGAAGATTTACTTACAACCTCCTTTGGTTTAGCAGGCCAACTTTCATCAAGTTTTTGCATCCCCATGTTTCCATGTTTTTCTAGGTTCTGGTTTTTGCTTTCAGCAAGGTCAGGCACACTTGAACCATCAGATTTGGATTTGGAAGATTTATTAAAGATCTCATTTGGTTTAGCAGACAGACTTTCGTCAAGTTTTTGCATCTCCCTGTTTCCATGTTTTTCTAGGTTCTGGTTTTTGCTTTCAGCAAGGTCAGGCACACTTGAGCCATCAGATTTGGATTTGGAAGATTTATTTACGACCTCATTTGGTTTAGCAGGCCGACTTTCATCAAGTTGTTGCATCTCCATGTTTCCATGTTTTTCTAGGTTCTGCCTTTTGCTTTCAGCAAGGTCAGGCACACTTGAGCCATCAGATTTGGGTTGCTCTTCGTCTGTAGCAGTGGTTTGCATGATCTGGGAGACAAGGAATGGACTGTTGCCCCTCTCACCAATCAGGTTTCTCCAGGCAGTCTTCTGTGACCATGAAACATTGGTTTTTGATCGCTTGGTACGTGGATATGGTTCCACGATTTCAGAATCCAGGAGTATCTCTGACTTTCTCTCAGGGGTAGCAGACTGTGGATCTGGTTCCACGATTTCAGAATCCAGTAGTATCTCTGACTTTCTCTTACGGGTAGCAGACACGAATTCACTTTTGTCACTCTCTTCTGCATGAGCTGATCTCTTCTTGTTGGAAGTTAAAATATTTCTTTTCTGACTTTTGAGCATATTCTGAGGTGGCCTGTATTTAGAAGTTTGCAGTACTGATTCCTGGGTGCACAAGAAGGAAACAAGAAAGTACGTCACATTCTCTAGTAAAGATGACTGTTTTTTTTTTTTTTAATTTATTTATTTTTATTTGAAAGTTCAAGCAAATGCACGCGCCCTCACAATATTGCCCCCTACCAGGATTCAACACACCTCCTCCACAAAGGGGAGGTTAACACAAGTAAATCCCAGAGACAACTGCATTACAGCAACTGAGCATTTAAATTATACCTCATTTGCTGAGATTGTCTCATTGCCCTGGCTCCCAAAGAAAGCGACTCTGTTGTTCCCACCGGCCACCATGTTCATTATAAGGTTATCTTCATCAGCCTCATCATCTGCTTCACTCTCTTTCATTATCAAATCATCAATTGATTCAGTGGAATTCTTTTCTTGATTGGCTGACCCAGCCTCAAGACGTGTAGACTCTGAAATATTTTCCCTCTCAAAGATCTTGCTCATCACCGATTTCATTATTTTAAGCTCTTCCTCATTTATGCCACCCCTTTGTGTTTCAGGATCATGAAAGTGTTCTACTTTGGTAGTGTAAGAATGACCGGAATGCTCCTCACAATCACAAAAATGGATTGGGAGGGAAGGAACTTCAATGCGTTGGAAACTATATTTATGCTTACCTGTTCCACTGAAAGGCAATGATTTCATCTACAAAAGCAAACCCAGTTGTTATCACAATGCGTGTGAACAGACAACAGACAATTATCTAGTAATAATTTGCCCAAGTACAGAATGGGCCCATTAGTTTTGTGAAATTTGCACGCAAATCAGAATTGACAGTAATACAGAAAGAATTACTGCAATGGTCATTACAGAACGGGCCCATTAGTTTCGTGAAATTTGCACGCAAATCAGAATTGACAGTAATACAGAAAGAATTGTCATGAACACATTGGCAGGCTAAATAAATGGACGAAAACCAGACACACAAGAAAAGTTCATGAGACCCAGAGAGAGAGAGAGAGCCAAAGGTTTCACCTTTTTTAATTTGGGAAAGAAAAGGCGAAGTGGCATCTTCTCCGACTTCAGGACTTTCTTAGGGTTTTCAAGAGACTCCATGTTTTTAGCGGCATCAACGCCATTACTAGGCGTACTTTCTGGAAGTTCAGCATCTTCTGCCCACTCCTTTTTCAAGCGAAGAAGATAGTGTTCTTTAGCCTTCTCAAGTCTCAGCCTCCCGCCCTTCCACAAACATCCGTTATACTGAAGAGTTTCAATTTAGAGAAGGAACAGCATAGTAGTCAGTACATTGATATGACACATTTTTAAGGGTGAATAGAAGCATATCGCAGATACTAAACCATCTTTACTGTTTCCAAACTACTAATACAATATCAATTTTGAGAAACATTACCACAGGATATGCCGAATTGTTATTAGAGATGATGATTGATGACTTTGCTAAACTTTTGCAACTATTTCTTTTTAAGTGAACTGTTGGAAAATATTCTTACCTTTATTGTGTTACTGAGTTTTTTCTGCCCTTAATTAATAATTTGCAATCAAATACCATTTTTCAGAATTTTTTTCTTGTTTAAGAAATGAATATTTGACACTTGTCATCCAAATAAATAACTGCTTCTTGTATATAGCATTTCTCATTTACTAGATATCATCGTTTATGATTATTCAATTCAATCCAATTTTTTAAAGTTTGTCTTGCGCTATGCAACATACACAATATAGAAAATATAGAAATATATATGCAATACAAATGACACTTTGAAAACTATGATGAGCATAGGGAGACATATCAAACAAGAAATTTAAGCTTGATTACCTCAAGCAAATCCATTTTCAACGCTCTCCAGAAATCTGGAAGATGGAACCTTAGAATACTCAAGTCCTAATTTTGTTGCCTATCTGCTTCCTTCTCCTTCCAAATGAGAAATTAAAATTCTCTCCTCCTTCAGTTCTATAACATTCAGTCTTCTCCTCCAGTTGTTCCTAATTCCGTCAATTAATATCTCTCTACTTTCCCATGTATTCTGAAGCCATATCAAGATTCAAGCGTCAGGGACAACATGGCCCCGTTCCACAACATTTCAACCCAATAAAGGTCACTGAGATCATTGCTAAAACGGTCTTATTGAACTGAAATTCCCCGTTTCGAATTCTGACGTGCTGCCTTTTTCTTTTCTTTCTTTCTTGATAGTATGGTTTTATTATTGTCTTTTTACCTTAGTACTCACTAAAAAGCACCAAGAGAATGTAAAATTAATGTGATTAGATATAACCATATTAAGCAAGTAACCCAAATTCTTGAAGAAACCAACTTGAAATTCTTGAATTTCTCTGGCCAGAAAGTACCACGCAGCATAAGCAGCAAGGCAGATTGAGAAGCTAGTATTCCTTTGGCTTAGAGTAATTTTATGATGCAGGAATATGATAATTATATAAATATAATAAGTAATGAGAGATAATGCCCTATTTGAGCAGAAACTATCAAGTCACGCAGAATTTAACCATTTCAAAGAAATTGGAAAGTCCCAAAACAGCCCATTTATCTACTAATCAAGGGTTCCTAAGCCTTTTCTTAGTATCACCACAACAATTAATAGTAACAAGACAAATATCGAAATCATGTAATTAATTATCCTTCTTAATCGATTCAAATCATCCATCCTAATTCTAACAAAACACAAAAGCAAAACCCTTAATTTATGCACACATACATATACATATGTGTGTGTGTGTATATAAAGCAAAACGAACCAAAGAAATATATATATATATATATATATATATAGAGAGAGAGAGAGAGAGAGACAGACAGACAGACAGACAGACCGTGCTGAAGATCTTGGAAAGAGCTTTATCGGAAAAAGGAATGAAATCGAGGTAAGCAAAGCTTCGGTCTTTGGTGCGGACGATATCGACGGAGTCCACAGCACCCACGGAAGAAGAAGAGAATGTCTTCCGCAGATCATCGGCCGTCACGTTCCCTCCCAATCCTCCAACGAATATTCTCGTCCTCGTCGAATCGCCTTCATTCTTCCTACTGTCATCTCCTTCCATTTCCATTCTCTCTCTACCCCACCTCTCTGTCTATATCTATCTTCTTCTTCTTCTTCACAATACAAATCGAAGCTCGGCTTTTCACATTCACGACCCTCCTGGTCCTGGAGTCATGCTTAGTAGTTATTTCTACTGTCTAGGGTACCCACTGGCCTGAAAATTTGGCCCATATACTTCGCATTCAGTCCAACTATTTGTGGGCTTAAATGAAATCTGAACCGGGCTCAAATTTATTTGGGCTAGATGGAGCTCAAGCCAGACCCGCTTTGTACTACTTGGTTGCTTTCTATTAATTTAATTGCTTTTTAATACATATCTCCTCGACCGTCTTACATGTGCAAAAAGACAAAGACATCTTCAAAGTTGAAAAAAAAAAAAAAAAAAAAAAAAACGTTAACAAAACTAAAAAAACGTAAAACAACTCATCAACAACTTAAATAATTTATACACACGTTTTGTTTATAAATATATTTTTATGTTTATAAGTATATATAACAACTTGAGTGGAACTTAATAACATTCAAAAGACTAGCTTTGACTTGTCTACTTATAATAAATCATCTTAAAGTATTAATATTAAAGTGTCCACAAACAATTAGATTTGTGTATAGCCCTAACTAGTTGTAGGAGTTTACATTTGAATTAGGTGTTGTTTGATAAAATTAAAAATTCGAAACCTTGTTTAATACTAGGAATGGCAATTTTATTCCAACTTGTTGGGGAATCCCCCCTCCAAACCCTTTTAAAGCAGGTTTGGAGAATCGTTTATTTAAATGAGGTGGGGATGGGAGTTGGGAAAAAAAAAACTCGCTGAATTTGGGGCGGGGGAGGGGTAGCCCCGCCCCGCAACCGCTCCGATTACATATGGAATTACTCCGATTAGCCCTTGCCATTTTATTGTACTTACCAATTTAATATATTATATATATATATATATTATATACACACTTCTAAATAAACCGTAACTTCTAAATAAACTGTAATCATTTCTATCTTCTAAAGCAGCAGCCAAGAGATGAGAGCCAGAGAACAAAGTTGTGAGTGACGCGACAAAGCGAACGTCCTACGGCTTCAGATCTTCTCTCTCTCCTTCTCCGACCACAGATCTCCACAACCTTAGCCAAGCGATGAAGCAAATCAACACCATCATGTGACTTCCTTCAGTCCTTCAACATATTCTCTCTCTTCTTTTTCGGCCACAGATCTGCGATCAATGCTAAAACCCTAGTCATATATATAAATTTTGAAGTAATAAGTTCTACCTTTTCACAGTTGGGTTTTGTTTTCTCAGTTTGATTTCATCATCTAGTTTTTACTTTGATTCTTTTTCACAGTTTGATTTTGTAACAATAAGAATCTGAAAAAACTCAAATTTTTTTTTGGGAGGGGGGGGCACGGGGGTAGGCAATGGATGGGGCAGGAACGGTTATGGGGATTAGAGGTAAAAAAATAATCGGTTATGGGGGGGAGGGGGACGGGGACTGAGAAACCCACCCCAACCCGCCCCATTGACATCTTTATTTTGATATTGTCTTAATTTTAAACGTCGAATTCATTATGATTGTTAAATGCAAAAGCTGAATCTTCTAGTTATAAAAGACAATGTATAAAATAATGAATTTCAACAAAAGAAATATATCAAATAATAATGGATAGTAATGTCAAAATTGATCATAAAAATTTCAAAATCAAAACACAAAACATTTGTACTAGGAAGGAAATAATTTTAGTTTAGGAATAATTATGTTACCTCGATGGAATCAAATGTCAATTCAATTTTTACTTGACTATTTTAACTCGAGCTAAATTTTAAATTTTGAATGTATTTGGGTTGGATTGAATTGAGTAGCTTGGGTTGATGAAAGAGTTTAGCTTGGGTTGATGAAAGAGTTAAGAGTTGTGGATTAAAAATTTTACATTGGCACATTTATTTGTAAACAGATGTTCAAAATTTAATGTGTTATCTTCTACCTATTATATGTAAAATCTTTGCATGTAAATCAAGCACAAATATAATATATATATATATATAATTGTGTGATAAAATTGAGTTGTTTTGCATGTCTATTTGATTATAAACTTAATTGAACCATTCCATGTATATTGTATTTTTAAATTTTGTAAAATAGTATTAAGTGAATTTTTGAGACATTGGAGTAAACTTAAAAACAAAAATTCATTGATAGGCAAAAGGGAACAAAAATAAAAATGCAACCCAAAGAATGGCAAGATATAAAGAACCAATAGGCTTAATTTGGGATGAGTACAGAGAAATGTTAACTTTTCTATTAATAAAATATTTTTTTTATTTTGGAGAGTTATTAACCTAAGATCGTATGGACACTTAAAGCCTGATCCTTTACCATCACCCCTGTGAAGAAGGTTGGTACAAATGCAATTTCTAACTGTAATTTTATTTTATTTTATTTTCCTTTGGTCTTTCCAAGCAAGAAAATCAAAAAAATTATATGCCAATAAATTATTGAAAGTTTATGTGACCATGGAGGAGATTATTATAACCTTCACAACGTCCAAATTTCTTGAATGGGGAATAAAGTAATGTGATAGTTTAACCTAAATCATACAAAGTGTATCTGCATTTGAGCACGCGTTTGCTCATCAACAATGTAACTCAAAGATATAATACTTAACTGAATGTTCTATTTTTTCTTATTTATATCCATCAATTTACACACCGCAGATTTACTACTACTTTTTTTCCCCCTCCCCTTTTTGTGTCCAGTTGAAGTAAGAAATACCCCATTAATAGCACCTCACCCACAAAAAAGACCTTTGCAAGAGCATGCAACTGCAAATGGGTACCAAATGCATTAATGGGAAATTCTCTTCACCAGCTAAAACAGATTAATTACACTCCTATCTCAACTTGCTCCAGTATGATTATTACTACAAAGAAATGCTAGCACACACATAAAGCTCTTTCAATCACTTTGTGTTCCTATATCATCAACCTTCCAATGGAACCAACCACACCAGAGACTATGGTCGTTGGGAGCGATCACGGTTTTATCCTGAAGGCTGAAGCATCATCCAAAACGGATCACAATGCAAGATATGTCATCTTTACTCTTTCTTGCCAATGCCTCCGTTGTCAAACGTTTGGCCGCCGCTTGAGGATCTTTAATGGATTTCACCATATCAACTGCCTCTTCGTTTTTCATAACCTGCCCACCAGAGAACACCAATTACTTCACTATATTTCTCAACCTACACAAGAGATGATACAGCAGCATCTTCATCTCATCTAACATGCCCAAGCTGCTAAGACTTCAACACAATACATTATCCTTCAGCCATAACATAAAATTAGATATGACACTCAAACCAGAAAAATAAATGATCATTGACCTTAAAAAAGGGATATTTTACAAATATGCAGATAAAAAACTATGCAATATATACTGGGATTCCAAACATGTGTGTGTATATACACCTGTACATATATATTATATTTAAATTGTCCTCGCATGACACTATGAAAGTCACTTGACAAGATACAATAGTTGATTCTTCAAATTTCCACAATTGATATTTGGTCACATGTAAAAGGATCATTACCCAGTGTTATCCTTATTAATCGAGGGTGCCGGAAGGGGCAGACTGAATACAAACCTATCATGTAGCATCATTTGCATAAAGTGACTGCGCTTAGGATTTGAACCCATGTTTTCACGCTTGAGAGCCTGAGCATTTTGCTACTGCACAAAGCAGTGGTCCCTATATCTTGTCACATCACACATCTGCACATAAACTTTAATTGAAACTCCAAACCTTGAGAAACTTAACTATCATCAAGATCCCATTTTTCTGATATGAATGATCTTAATAAAAGAATGCACACATTCCTGCTCTTCCTAGTGTTGGTAACGGGACGACTGAGGGATTGTCTCCTTTTCTAACCTGCCAAACTTCACACTACCCCCAACACATCCCCAATGAATTCTTCTGTTCAGTCCATCACAACTAAACCTGTCCCAGCACATTTAACCCACTTTCTTGAAAGCTATTCATTCTGGTTTAGAGACATCCACACAGTTGATATTAAAATTTATGCAACTATGTAAGTAATATATCAGGAATTAAAATATTTGCACAATTAGCAGTTAATTTTTTGTATAAAAATAAAAATTTAACTGGAAGACAGCTCACTTAGTTTAGCTTTATCATTAATTTATCATTGTAACTCTTTTCTTATATTAAATAATATTGCTAGAGTAGGGACCATGGTTTGGTGTAGTGGTAAAATAATCTCAACTTCATTCCATCTTATACCACCGGGGGAAAAAAAAAAAAAAATTTGTCCAGATACGTTGCCAAAGGTACATTTCAAAAGTATACGGCAATGTCGTCATCCCATTACAAAACCACGTATAACCATAACATCTTCACTTTCTATGGCTGCAGTGTGCCAGGAACAGATGTGATCATTTCAAAGATAAGAACAACAAACTCACTTTAGGCCTGGCTCAGAAAAACCTAAAGCAATGATTCCATATATAATTGCATACAGAACACCACCACGAGCTGTTAGATTGAGTTGTACTTTATCCTTCCACTCCAAAAAAGAGGAGCTGAAAGGTTCAAGTTCCTGCCAAGGCACAGGTGTTTATGTCTTATGCATACATACGTACGTATATATGCATATAAAACATCTTCAATTAATTTAAGAACGAAAACATAAAATATAGTATATAAAGAAATCAAATGACAGAAAATGAAGAAGAGTTCTTATTAATAAGATGGTTTTAAAACTGACCTTCCATAAGCCATCACTTGCCAATATAACAAACTCTATATTTGAGTCAATAGGTACATGTCGTACATCAGGCTCTGAACTTAAATGTGCTTTAAGGCTTTGATCTCCAAAAGCCCGTGCTACTGCAAGTTGACCATTAACCCTCGGCACATCTCCTGAAATAAGAGTTCAATTTTTCACTATAAGGAGAGCGGAGCACCTACTTTTTAAATTTATGATCTTGCCACACTCCAATGTGGTTTCAAGATTACGTTGCCATCTCTAGAATTTGACTTGTGACTTTACTTTTTATAGGTATTGTCAGATAAGATCTCCACAAAGAATATTACCAAGTGAAGTTTCATTGCAAGATGAAATATATTTACCAGGAAGTGAAGTCACAAAGCCACCCTGTTTTTCAATCCTCCTCCTTTCACTGTGTGGTTCATGGTCCACAGTAAGTTGATTGGCAGACCCCCTCTCACATACAACAGCTCTTGAATCACCAACATTGGCCACCCATAGATCTTTGCCGTCAATAACAATTGCGGTAACAGCTGTTGAGCCACCAGGCCCTAACTGCATTGCGTTCTCCAGAATAAATTTATCAGTAGAGCGGTATGCACTCTTTATTGCTGCCTCTGGCTCTTTCCAGAAATTTGACTGTACCAAATCAACAGGACATAAATTGAATATGTTTGACCAAACATAACAATTTTGGTTGACACAAAAAAGTTATAAAGAGAGAGAGAGAGAACAGACACAAAGAAGTAAATGTACTTGATTTTGTTGTTCTTGAAGACACTAAGGCAAACACCTCCCAGAACTGATTTTATCCTCGTCTAATTAGATTTAATTTTATTATAAAAACTCATAATAAATAGATAAATACAGGTTATATGTAATAGAGTTTTAAAGAAAATAAAATAGTTAATTTGTGGTAGAATTTAGATAATTTGTGTTACTATTTTATAGAAACTCTTTTAATATATCCTTAAATGTAGGTTGCAAATATGACATGAACACAAACACAATATTCATATATGACACGACTCAAAAATTCCAAGGAGCAGACAGGGCAATAAATAAATATCTATATCACTATACATAACAAACATAAAGTTGATGTAAAGTCCGGTTTCCTTCCATCACACCTTTAAATTTTTAATTGATTTTTAATCTCGCTATTGGAGGACCAGCGCCACCAATAGCACTTTTTATAAACCCTCAGTGCATCTCATAGTTGTTAAAGACATGCCTAGGCTCCGAAAAAGCACTAGGCTCGTCAAGTATGAGCTAGAGCGCCTCAACCTAGTACATGTCAGGCCCCTTCAATCAGGCTCACATAAAGCCCTCAAGTTCGCCTTTTTAGTAGGCTCCATGCTAAAAAAGACACGCCTTTTATTTTTTTAATCACTTATTCGTACCATTTCTTTATTATTTAATGACTAATAAATTAAAATGTTCTATGTCATATATCATCCTATTTAACATTATGAAATATTTGACAAAATTCATAAATTTATGGTTTACTACTTACATTAATTGCAGTTAGTGCTTGATTCTGAATATAAATAATAATATATGTTCAAATATGCATTATTATTACACATGCGCCTTACTTCAATCAGGCTTGCACCTTATATTGCACCTTGCACTTTGGCTCTAGAAGGCCTTTGGCGCCTTAGTGTGCCTTGAGCCTTAACAACTATGGTGCACCTCATGTCTACAATTCATACACACAGATCCTAGTAGTGTCCATTGCCCTGCATAGCTAAACATCCCCTAAGTGAATATGTGCAACTTAGATAACTCTCAACCTAGCCGTAGCTGTAGAGCTAGGCTGATAATCAAGTAATTTTGGTCCAAGAACTTGATGCCTAAAAAAAAAACTAATAAATTAATGTTAGTGTTATCTTTTATGACTTTCGAAGAAAAACCAATAGAATTTGTAAGTCATTTAAGGTGTGATTGTTCATAGATAAAAGTCCTAAACAAAAATATTTGGAAAAAGAACAAAAAACATGTTACTTCTCTTTCTAGCTAACAGTGCACCAATGTGCCTTTATATATATATATATATATACACTGTGTCTGTGGATCGGCACATCAAAGGAGGTTTTGATTCGGTGTGGCGCGGCTTACTTCTCTACCATGCGCACGCAAATCATGGCCATTGAATTGTGATGATGAAGGGCAGATAATCCAGTGAAATGCAGCACTATTTAATCTGGTACAAGCATGCACCTGGACCATATATTGGGTCTAGTCAATTTTGAAATAATCTGGTGCGGCGCGCACCATTAGAGTTGATGTAGCAGTGAATCATAGTGCGCCACGTGTCGTCTTTAATCTGGTACAGTCGCGCTCACAATAGCGATTGAGCTCAACCTATTATTCTGCCTATTTTGTTACTCGAAATTTAAACGATCATAACTCAGTTATCTTAAATCGAAATTGAGTCATTCTTGAGTTCAAATTTACGAATTTTTCCTTCTCTTTCCAATGGTACCAATTTCATTCTTAGATTCTCATCCTACTAGGAGATATTTACGTTTTAGTAAGACGGTGTCGGAAAATTATTTAAACCGAGATGGAGTATTTATGGGAAACCATTTATGACGATATTTAGTAGCATTTAATTTGCATAAATATAATTAAATTAATATATTGGTGATGGAAGGAGGTATATATGTGTATATCTGGTTTAATTAATTTATGAGTTGTATGGATGGTGTGTGTGTGTGTGTGTGTGTGTGTGTATTTATTGATATATATATGTATATATGATTTTCAATAATCAAGGATTATTAAGGAAGGTGTTATATACATATATATATTAAATAATATATGTGTATATATACATATTATTTGACAAATCAATATTATTAGTCTTATTTGGTATATCTGGACAGGTTGGTTATTAAATTAATTATATGCATATGATATGCATGGAATGCCTAGGTATAAGTTGTTTTGTTGATAAGTTAATTTGCCTATGTAAGAATTGTTTGGTTGATAAATTAACTTTTAAGGTTTGGTACGTGGTTCAATTATAGGCATGGATGAGTTGCCAAAGGCGTAAATATATTACCTAAGTATTTATATGAATAAAATACATACATAAGTAGCATGGATGAGTTGCTAGTTTAAAAGTATAAATATATATATATATACTTGTGGAGGCATGGTTGAACTGCCAATGTATAAATAAATATACTTGTGGAGGCATGATTGAACTGCCAATGTATAAATAAATATACTTGTGGAGGCATGAATGAATTGCCAACGTATAAATAAATATATTTAAAGGAGGCATGATTGAATTGTCAATATATAAATAAATATATTTATAATGGCATTGTTGATTTGCCAAAGCGTAATTAAATTGTAAGTCATTTAAGGTGTGATTGTTCATAGATAAAAGTCCTAAACAAAAATATTTGGAAAAAGAGCAAAAAACATGTTACTTCTCTTTCTAGCTAAGAGTGCACCAATGTGCCATTTGGAATAACTTGCAGGATTATTTTTTCATTTAATATTTTTGTTTCAACTTGTTCATAACTAAAAAAATATCAAGTTGCAGTCTTGTAAATGACACACACACAAAAGGAACAAAAAAATAGCCTCAATGAATTGCCTAAGAAAATAGTTCTCATAGTTAACTTTTTTTATCAATTCAATGCCCCACCTAATGTTTAATCATACAACTAACAAGCTTGATTCTATATTAGCTAGTGTAGTTCTGAATACCATCTCTGTTGTTATAAATTGGTAATAAGATGATTTTCCTCCATTAAGAGTATCTGCTAAGACCTAAAAATCATGTTAAAACTAGTTAACCAAACTATGCCATTGCCATATGTATACTACCAAACAAACTATGTCATTGCCATATGTATACTACCAAACATCAATGGGAGATCTGTTAGATCTTGTAGTCTTCCCTATCTTCGTCATTTTTCGCAACTTGCTTTAATTCAAAAAACCTAGAATTTTTTACAGATGTACTGCAGTTCCTATCCCTGACATAGTTATCTAGATTCAAGTTCCTACATGTTTTAAAAAAATGTTTACCTCCAAGCAGTGAGACACAACCTTGTTTGCTTTTTGTTGCAGACTTCCCCAATTAAAAGATTTCAGGATTCATATTGATGACGTGTGACTACATGTTGTATATTGATATTCTACCTACTCTGATCGTCCTCATTTCTCTAAAGATTCAGACAAACTTTGAAAAAGATGAGAAAACTAAGCAACATAGAGGTGTAAATAAACTAACAAAAACACAAAGTAAATTGGAAATGGAGTTTGTATTTATGAAGACACACCTCCTCAAGTATATTGTTGAAAAGATTATCTTTCAAATAACTGGGGACACGATCACCAAGATGACCATCAAATATGGCAAACAATCCAAGCACATGCCCCTTCTGATTCCTGTATTCAGCAACATGGTAGTCCTCCATGTCATGACCAGACTGCCCTTCCACTAAATGGAATCCATGAGCCACTTTATTGCTCGATGACTTACTTTGCCCTTTTCCAGTGTCTGACGATGATGAATCAAGACAAGCAGCTCTCTGAAGTTACGTAAACAAGTAAACATGAAGAAATTACAAAGATGTAAAAGCCCTAAATCAAATTTGCTTTCTATAAGTTCTGAACCAACTTGTTTGAATATATATATATATATATATACTGGTTTTCAATTTTTCAGAGAAGCAATTGGTAAATCAAAATTGAATTGCTTATCGAGAATTAAGAACATGGAAAGAAGAAGAAGAATAAAGCAACCTTGATCTTGTAGAGGAGACCCCCAGATGCGCCTGAACGCTTCTTATCCATCTTTGTCAGTGCGGTGTCTTCCTTCTTTGCATCGACGGCACGGCAATTGCTATATCAGTGAAACTAAGTCTTTTTCCAGAGATCAATTAAAACACAACGAAAGCAGATAGACTACACACAAACTCTCTCTTTATATATAGTTTGACAGTCAACAGAATGAAAGCTGAAACGTGAAGTGTGAAGTTTGATGAGAAGAGGAAGAAGAAGGCGTTTACTTTGTGGCCGTCTGAAGAGGAATTGTCTTCTCAACACCAAACAATATTTTTATATAATATGATTTTTTTTAGAAAGACAATAATAATAATAATAATCCGATCTGATCATATGTGACTACGTGTATATGTGACAGTGACAACAACAATAATAAAATTAATAAATAAGGGGGTACAATAATAGTGGAAACGCGGAATTGGATTTTCTTTTCTGAGGGCAAAGAAGAAATTTTAATAATGCAGTCTTCGATTGAAAGAGTGAAAACTTATAATGGAAAATTACGTGTCACTAGGTGAGATGATATATATGTATATATATATATATATATATATATGGTCCACTTTCCGTGTGGGTACCACCACCAACCTGACATTTCCATTGAATTGAATGCAATCTACTTCTTTTTTTCTTTTTTTTTTAGGTAAAAATGCAATCTACTTCTTTCCTTGAACCTTCCGAAGGATTTTGCATTTTTTTTATCCATTTCCTTCCATCACGAAGAATGGAGAGCCACTCTTCTTCCACAGTAATTGATGAATTTACAAAAATATTGGCAGAAAGGGATGTGGATAATCTATTGTGTTTTTTGTGTTGCAGTACTTTTGGAAACACATTAAATTGTGATTTTGTACCATTAATTTGGTATACTACTATATTATATTATATTATATTATACTATATTAAATTGCAATACTATTTTTTCAAACTTCAGGATAATGGTGTTACACGTTGATTGTTGCGCCCATGTCATACTCCCGTGCGGGCAACAAAAAGTATGCAACAGAAGATGCGGTTTCGAAGAAAAAGTAATATGAGTGAAGGAGGAGAAGAAAGGGGTAAAAAGTCTTTTTCTTTCTTTTGGTAGAAAAGAAAATAGAACGAAAAGAAACAAAGAAAATGAAATGAGAGTATATCAAACGGGTTGGGATTGACCATATCTTTGACCATGACATAGTGGAATGAATACAACCTAAACTATATATGATTTCACCAATTTCCTCTAAGCCCCTAGCCAATTAACAACTCTCTTAAAATCACGGACTGCTTGAGAATCACCAAGTCATTAAATTCCACGCTTGTGCCTAACTCACGTTGAGGTTTGTGATTGCTTTGTATTTATATTTGGCCAATGGTGGGGGATTAATTTTCTTCCATTTTGAACACCCATATATCCTGGTCATTGCTTAAAATAACAATCAAATTAGCACCATTCCAAATTGATTTCTCATTACTAGAAGCAAAAATAAAAGCTCTCAAATGAAAAAATAGCATCCATGGAGGATTCCAAATATACAAACAGCCACTTCATACACATACAACAGCCATCAACTAAGCACCATTCCAGTTCAATGTCCTCTAGAAGCCATTACTTGGTGCAAACCTAGAAGTTCTAACTGCAAGAGTAACCATGGATATCCCAGATTCAAATTTGAACCACCAGTCTATTTCTCGGCATTCCCTTCTAACACGCTGCACAAATCGGCCATCACTAGATGGTAACCTTTTGCTCAATATTTTTTCCTCCGCTGTTACACATCTGGACTTTAAATTTTGCGGCTTCCGTCTTCGGAATGCAGTTACCGCACTGAAAGAACATAATGGAATGGCATCATTAATTTGTTCATCCACGGAATTCCAGAAGCCCTGAAGATCATGCAGCTTTACAGAGTACTTACTATAATCCTTGCAAAGCACACCACTGTCCTTATTGTCTCCATTTCCTTCGCTTTCTTGGAAATAAATTCCACCTATTACGCTTGTTTAATTACATAAATGCATACATAAATGAATATGTGTGTGTGTGTGTGTAGTTCAAAATGAGAAAAAATAACAGCAAGATTTTAATACATGACAGTTTGCACACAACAGCAAACATGGAGAAGTGTACATAATAGGATATAACAAAAGAAATAAACCCAAAAGGTTAAAAAAAAAAAAAGGGAGGAAGAAACCAAATAAATGAAATAAAATGGTGACAAAATTTACAGAGACCTCAAACATGCAAGACGGTGCAATGGTGGGGAGGGTTGAAAGAAAATGGAATGAAGTTCTTTCATGTGGTATATGAATACTCTACATACTCCACTACCACGTATAATTGAAATACGAGCAAAGGTGCATCCATGGAACCTGAAGAAGAGATCAAAGAGAGGGGCCACAGAAAATTATTTGGTACCACTGGCAGGACGACCAATAAGCCTGCATTGTTCGGGAAGTATGGAAGACATAACTTGCCCATTGACAGGGAAAAGTTCCCCATCAATACCACAGCCCGTGCCCGTCTGCTTTTCAGGCTTAATCTTCACCGATTTTACCTGCATTACAATACACTCGTGGGTTACATTGTTACTACCACTAGCAGCATTTCATAATTCTACTGCTCAATAAATTATGCAAGCATAAAAATACATGCAATGACAAATCTCATTCAAATACATTAAACAGCCACACCAAATGCAATCCATATGACAAAGACGTTCAAACTATTGGATGTAGTCTGCTAAACTGGCTTGTAGGAATCTTTCAAAAAAAAAAAAAAAACTGGCCAGCTATGTTGTTAACCTTTTCATGTACTGCAGTTGCAGACTACAAAAATTCAATGTCTTCCGTGTGCAGTATTTAGATTATTATGTGTAATTTTCCTCAAATCTCACACAAGTGCAAAAACTCCCAAGGATAAATTGCCTACGGGGAAAAGAAAAGGTGTCTCTGTCATACCTTGACATATTCAACATATGGCAGTGAGAGGTGTCGACCCAATTGCAGAAGCAAGAAAAACCTCAACAGCCTCAGTCGCCCACTTCCATGAACCAACAATAAATCCAAAGTGTTGTCATCAGGCTCAGCTCTTGGAGCAACCACTTGGGAACTCAAACTTTGAACAGTCTTGCACGAATGGTTGCACACAAGGACACCAAGAAAATGACCTTTTGTAACCACCCATTTGTCATTCAATCTAGGCACAACTTCCTTGCGCACTCCAGCTTCAACATCATCTGATGGCCCTGGCAATTCAATAGGATTTTCTACATCCCAGTGGGGCTCGACGTCCCACTTCGGTTCAGCATCCCAAATTGGACCAGGATCTGACATCGTTGACGAAATATCCTCTTTGTCATTTGTTGTTGTATTTCCCCAAGAACATCTGGTGGAGTCATTTGTGGTTGTCAATCCAGTCCATCCTTTATCCGTTCTAGATTTCGACCTAGTCCTTGGCCAGTTAGGAGTTGCTGAAAGTGGTTGCTGAGGATGAATAACTTCTGGTTCTGCCATCACATTGCTCCTTCCAGACGATAAGCGTTTTGATTTTGGATCTAGGCCACGCACATATTCTGATGGTTCAGTGCTAGCATGTGTGCTACTGCAGGTTGTATCCAAGTCTCCTCCAGATATTCGACTTGGGGTCATAATTGAATCAATGCTTGATAGGCTAGAGGCTCTGGGCATGCCGTCTGTCGTTGATCTCTTCATAATGTCTGTGTACAGGTCTGACAGGTCAACTATTTCCCTGTCGGCTGAGAGTTTTTTTTCTTGATCAGTTGCTTCTTTTGATGCTGGAAGATATTCCACTTCAAAACTGTACTTAGGCAAGCATAAGAATTTGAGGAAACCAGCAACAAAATAACGCAGAGGACCAAAGCGCTTCTGATATTTCTCAGAAAGTTCCAAAACTGCAACAAATTAGAAATAAATACATATAAATAGCATTCCACCCGTAATTAATAATATCGCGCACACATAACTTGCACTGCGTAGTCAAACTATTTTAGGTTGGCATTAATATTGTCATCCCAACTGACACACACTGTCACAGCGAGACTTCAGGCTAATGGAGCAAATAACTAATACATGCAAATTAAATGCATACATCATACATTATGCCATGAAGTGGTTTTAGTGTCAAAAGCACAAGTGGTCAAGATAATGCCTAATGGTTATAATCTTCTACTGACCAAAGAAAAGCATAATCAAGATGTGATTGTTGATAAATAAACAAACAAGCAGCAAAAGGTATCACCATGGGTGGTCCAGGAATCAAGATATAACATACAAGGAAGCAGCTCATCAAGAGCACATAAACCTGAAGGAGACAATTTATGGTTCATCTGGTAGAAGAGAAGGGCAAGAGGATAAATGAGGGGAGGGGGAAAAGGAGAGGATAAGGTTTCCATGGTTCAATAGTTGGTAATTGAATATTGACCTCATTTACTAAAGGATACAATTAGAGTCAATATGGTCAGGTAGAGCATATACGGAATTTGGAATCATTAGCAATGCTTTTGCAGTGAATGTGTCTGTAAGGAAATGCAATATCTAGCTGTGCAAGCAATGAGCATCAAAGCTTAAGATCCATGCTCTCTTTGTTTTACTTAAAATGAAAAAATATAAAGTAAATGATTGGAAAAATAATAACATAAAGATATGTTTTTATCCATCATTATCAAAATCACAAAGTCTCTAATTGACCAAGATGAAAGAAAGATATACAAGATCAATCAAAAAGCTTCATGATTTACCATCACTAACAAAACCAAAATATGTGACGGTCATTCCGAAGTGAATGATGCCAGTTTGGATCCATTCAACAGCAAAAACATCTGTAGCAGTAAGGCCACCCTGAAACAAATAAAAAAACACAAGGATGAGAAAGAGAAAACGTGCCATGAAGTACATACACGTTCGCATTAGCATAAAGAAAGAAAGAATAATACAATTCTTTTTATTTAAAAGAAAATAATGTTTCAAATTGGTATGAATAAGGGCTGAAAAACGTTAAATTCACATGTTGATGAAACTAAATCTCGTACATTATCATAAGCACCCAAAGGGAGTTTCTTTTTCTATTTTTCCCTGAATAAGGGAGGTTCATTTTGGTTTTAAATTTTTTACAGTCATCAGTAATCTTTCTTGCACTGTGTCACTATTATGTTTGGTGTCTCTATCACTAACACAGCCTTCCCAGGCTCTGAGGAAAGAGAATAATAGTGGTTGGTGGACAGTCTGCATAGGAGTTCTAGTCACCTCATGCAAAAATTTATGACATATTTGTCTCACATTCCTAATTCAGATAGAATTTCTTTTTGAGTTTTGTAGTGGAAGAAGGATTATTAATTTTGTTTTCTTTGGACAGCAAGAAACTTTGGGCCGACAACAGGCCCTTCATGCATAGATGTGCAACAGTTCACTCATTACATCTATTGATTATTACTTCCCCCAAGAGGAGGTCAGCGGAGGAAGAGTGTTGGGCTCTAAACAAAGACAAGCTGAATTTTCATTCGAGATGGGGACATTTCTTTAGTTTCGACTTTGATAAGGAGTTGATGGAAGAAATTTGAGTTTACCTAAAGTGGGGAAAGGTTCCCTTGTGGAGAGTACTTTTCGGGGGGAGAATTGAGAAAAATTTGCTCTGTGGCTATGAAACATGTGGTGGACATAGATTCACAATGTGCATCTGTTGCCAAGGTTTGGTGTTGGATATCAGTTATTGCACCAAAGTTAGATAGTTTTGGTTCTCTCTTTTTCAGTTTTTAGTTTGGGAACCTTTTCAGATTGTTTTTGGGAGAATCCCTATTGATGTAGTCTCCATTTTAGTTAACTGTATTCAATTCTTCAAGATTGCAAATGCCTAAAAAGTTAACATTCTCCTCTTCAGTGAAAGGTTGTGATAGGTTTGATAGGGTTTTGGATAACTGAGAATTGAAAAGGCAGGATCGTCCACTTTTGGCCTAGACGACAAGTGTTGGTGGACAGAATTCTTTGCAGTAGTCCAAAAACAATTCTTTCATTCTCTTAAAAAAAAAATTGATAAGTAAAATTTTCATCGAAAGGCACTGAACAGGATCCCGAATACAACTGCACAAAAGCAAAACCACTATACCCTCAAACTATCCACAAAACATAAGAGCCTCCACAGATTTACAATTCCGACCATGAACCCATAACAAAAATGAACTAAGAATAGAAAATTAGAGCACCCAAATAGGAGTCTCCTCCACAGATTTTCCATGCAACCCTTCTGACAAGCACGGTACCTCCCTTACCAAACAGATTAAATCATCTGTGATGTGCAAAACACAATTCAGATGAATACTAATTTATTTCCACCTATATCTATCATAGAAGTAGAAGCACTTGGCTGATCCGGTATTGCTCACTGAAAGATATAGTTATGTAGTACATTTGCTTTTAAGAATAATGGATATTTGATAATAAAAACCCAAGAAAAAATGTTCTCTTCGCACAATAATGGTGCCAAAATGAAGTCGAGCGCTTGGATAAATTTGGTAACAAGGTATTCAAACATATTCGTTAAAATTAAATCAAAGCATTTAGAAATAGGCAAAAAATAACACAACAGTATTCATTTTGCAGAATTCAATTAGTGATTGGTGTGTGATGGGACTAAGTACTAACAGCCAGCTCTTCAATGATTAATTAATACAAATGATAAAGTGGCAAAGTAAAATACAATTTACCATTGCACCAAGCAATGTCACGATTGTTTGAAAAGCTAAAACAGGCTATCAGGAAAAGAATGGCAGATATCCAAAATGTGTTCATTAGTTGTAAAAGTTGAACGCAAGAATTAGTGTCATAAAAAGCCAGCTTTGATCCATTACACGTGAACAAATTAAAGTTACCTTTACTATGGCTATTGCAGCAGAAACTGGATCTCTAACTCCTAGAACGGTCCATACCAAAGAATTATCCGAACCAGCAGGTATAATTCCAATTGGAATTGAGATTGCTTCTTTCTGATTGTCTCTACTAAGTAGACCATTCAAAACCTGCGGTATATAAAGTCGTGAAACTCTTTCTGATAATAAAGAATTAACTTTTATGAAAGAAGAAAAGGAAAAATTAAAAATAATAATGCAAAGGTTATAATTAGATCACGTGGTGATACTAGCACAAACAAGCAGGTAGCTGAAGCAAATTATCAATAGAACATGCTACAATTTACTTCGACTTACAATCTACCATAAAATTATCATGACTGCCCCACCCTAGAGGTAATTCATGTAAATATCACCAAACGAAAAAGAAAGGCAATATACAGAAAAATAAAACCATTTGTGTGACAGCTTAAGAATTTAAACCCAGCCATGGAGCTGAATGATGGCTGTAGTGTGTTTTATAAAGAAATCTTATGCTTGCCTATGGCAATTTTAAATCAGAAAGCCATGCAAATGTGTTTTTCAGAAATGTCAGCAAGATTTCCAAATTGACGATTTCCTATAAAATAAAAATAAATACACCACCTAAATTAAGGAGCAAGTATTAGATAGGGTGAGTACTGAAGCATTGATGTCAAACTCCTTTCAAGAAGAACAATAAATTATTATATTGTAAGGAAAAATCCTTCTGAAGGGATACAGATATTAATCATATTATAGCTAAAATATCCATCAACAAACTCTCGAATTTAATAAATCAACTAATACTTGGAACAGCTAACGGCTAGTATGAATCTATATTGGGGAAATCATCTGGGTAACCATAATATAGAACACCATAACACTCAAACTCAGTCAAATCCAAGTAATGCCAATAGGGTGAATGATGCAAAAACAGCACGAGGGATTAGTAAAGTCACTTGGAGAAAGGAAGTCAGATCTGGTGTGGAGAAAAGCAATCTAATTTTCACATGTGAGTTAAGTGGTGCATTTAAATAACTCACTTGAAAAAGAAAAAAGAAAAAAAGGGTAAAAATGTGATGACACATGAAGCAAAAGTAAAATAAAGGTTATTAGTTCAACAAAAAGCTCCCTTCCCTGAAGTAAATTAATAGGGTTAGGTTTTCTCACTTCATTTGTAAAGACTTCTGACCAAATGAATAAAACTCTACTTTCACTGTGAAACTTAAACCCTTGATTCAACAACATAACAAGAGAACTTTTTATCGTGAAATAACGGAGATAAACCATCAACTTGGCTAGGCTTTTCTGGAGTTGCCCATGACCCAAATTTAACATTTTACTATCAAAGTTAAATATGGTAGATGCAGTTCTCACTTTAAGCAAATTATGGGCATGGCTGCTGCAACAGCATCCCGATATAAGGACTCAGTTGCCTATGAAAATATTATGGGGCAATTCAACAGTGGTTACCCCTCTCAACGCCAAAAATTGACCATCGCGAAAATCAATGGGATCAATATAAACTTCATGGGTGGGTGGCCAAACCAAGTTGATATCAAATATACCAATAAAAGCAACCACTTAAATGAGTCATTAGAGATCACTACCTAAGATATTTTTAGGGAAATGATAGACCACAAAAGCACTTGTATAATTAGTTACAATTTTATAATATATTAAAACTAACAAAACCCTAACTTTGTCATGCAGAAACTAATTTTAACATAATTTTCTCCAAAAAATCATCTTTCGCCTTTTTTAATATAGATAAACAATCAAAAAAATTCATATCATACTGAACAGAAGTATTGATCAACCACAAAAACATGAGTTAATATCCTTTTTCAAATAATCCAAGGTAATACCTAATATGGTTCATTCAGGAACTTCTAAGAACTTGACATTACTGAAAACCCTTTCAAGTGAAAAAAATAACAATAATAATTAGATATGCACAAGAAAAATAATTCATTTTGTAGTGTGTAGACCAATAAGAATATCCCATGAAATGGGATATGACTAACCTCATTAACAATTCCATCGCCTCCAACACATATAATTCCTGCAACAAGTATAATTCCACAGATTATAAGAGGGTAAATGATCAAAGATGGTCAAAATGCAGTGAATGAAATAAAACACAAATTATAAGGCGGCCTTAGAATCAAAAGTACCATCAGGGCATGTGCTGAAGTCGAGACTCGAAGCAAGATTTTTAGCATGACCAGCAGATGTTGTTTTGACTACCTCCATCTTAAACCCTGCAAGCTGTCACAATTTGCAACTCTAATATAAATTACATACATGAATAAGAAAAATACTATAAACATACTTATGTTGTTTCTAGAATACAGTTATTTCAGCCAACTACCCAAACCAAAAAAAGCATTAAAAAGGAAAGTATAAACACCATTACTGGGAGCACTTAGGATCAAGTTATCTCAAATATATCATAGAATATCACCTAAGAGAATCAACTAAAAAATTTTTTTTTGTCTTGCTTGGTTGATTAGGTTGGTGGTGGTTGTTATCTGATCAATGACTTATAAAATATCTGATAGATTTCTCAAGTATATTAAGGATTTTTACAGCATAAATATGTTTGCATAAGCATCCAGACATGCAAACATTTTTTCATGGCTTGATCCAGAATGGGTATCCCACTGTACTAGCATTTTCAAATATATGTTGAGACCAAAACAGAAATTTCTACGTACCTTAAATATTGGTTCCACCATGCCATGGAAAACTTTACTTGAACGACCACGTCCGGACCGCGGATTTAAAATCACAAGCATCTTAGGTGGACTTTTACATTTGATATGTAATTCAGGAGGAAACTCAGAAGCAACAAAATCTGAAGCCTGCTTCTTTGAAGAAAGCAAAGGATGAGGCAAACAATTCACAAAACATTGCTGATCTGCAAATCCACTAACCCATTGGACTGCTGCTTCTGGGCTAGCAGCCAAGAAGCGGAAGTCCTTCCGAGTTCTCCCAGTTTTCGTAAAACAAGAAAGGCCGCACGAACCCTTTTTCACAGGGTATGAATGCACAGTAAAGTGTCTGAGGCCATCATTGTACGAAACCTGTTAAATTCAAGGAAATGCATATTGAGCCCCATTTGAAAATTGAAACGAGGCACAATTCAGGCAAAAAGCACAACCTGTCTGAAAATTCTTACCGAAATCACATCATCTAGAAACAACATATGAGAACCCCAAACCAACGCCTTGCTTGTAAGTTTGGCATCAACTGCATCCCGGTTTGTTATCTCTGCTGGAGTTTGTACATCTGTATTTTTACTTGTCTTTCTCTTATCCAATACCAGCGTTCCGGAAACCACTTCATATCCCAACAAGTCAGACTGCTCATCTCCAATATCAATCCTATGTTCCTCTCTCTTTGCTTTCTTGGGATCATCAATCGTAACATTGATGTCTCCACGCCTTAAAGTCTTCACTTTACTACGTTTTTCTGGAAAGACAATCGGGGAGGAGTGCTGCCCAGTTGCTATTTGAGAACACAAACCCAAGCGGCGAAGAGACTGCTGGGGCGTCAGTCTCAAAGAAGTGTTCTTGGAAAGACTCGCACTCTTCTGCATATCTGTTTCACAACTGAAAATAGAAACAACAAACCAAGAAGGATGGATCACCGTATAAGTGTTGCATGAGCTGAAGAGTAGATGATCCACCAAAATCCACGTCAGAACCCCGCATACAGATCAGCCTGCATATTACAATTCTTTTTGCTGTTATTTCACAAACATTCCATAAGACAAGATTTGGAATAATATCATACACATCGTGCAAAGAGATAGTGCAGGAAATTGATCTCATTAACCAAATAAAAGACCGTAGGGAAGAAAATCCTAGTACAACAATGCACATCAAATGACTGGCATAAGAATCTTTATAAATAACCTCATTATGGTTGAACAAAAAGAAAAAAAAATTAAATATGGAATGAAATTATCAGAGACATTTATTATTTGAATTTCAAATTATGGCTTTCTCCAAATGCACTTATGATTAAGCAAAACTGATAAAGTTTGTAAGAAAATTATTATTGCCATTTGAATCATAGCCTGCACCCTTCCCCAGTATTATAGAACTTGTACGCACTCATAATGTGACGTGCCGGAGACTAAAGTTAAGTGTGAAAAAATTGCTCAATTTTATATAACTTGGAAATCAAAAGATTTGGAAATTGCTCCTAAGAGAAATCTCAACAATTTAATCACCAACCTGAAACCTAATTAGTTGAACATCACCGACAACATATTGTTCTTGTACATTCCCACATCATGAGATTAGGATACCATTGGGATATTTATACCCCCAAACACCCTTAATTTAACTTTTAACCTTGCCCATAAACTTTCCCTCCCCAACCAATAACTCCATAACCTTTTTCCAAAAGTGCCTTGATTAAAGAGACTAGACTTATCAAAAAAAAAAAAAAAAAAAAAAACAGACTCAACTCCTAAATCCTTAAGCTCCCTTCTTTCACAGGGAAGCAAATTGAAAGCCACCTTCCAATTGACCAAGCGATATTTAATTCAATAAGTCCATTGGCAGCTTCTCAAATCTATGCTCCGTTGAAGCTAGAATAGTGAACAGAGACGTGATCTACGTATGCAAGCTAGAGAGATTACTATTAATAAGGGTCAATCTACCAACCCACCCACCCAAAAAAAAAAAAAAAAAAAACATTTGATTACTATGAATTTTGAAATATGAAATCTTTGTTCTAGGTCATGCTAACAAATTTAAGGAAAAAATTAATAAGAATAATAAGAATTCACTACAATTTTTTGGGGTAATTCAACTAATAGCCTGTATATGAAATTTAAGTCATTGTAAATATTAAAGGCTTGGTAAGCTATGCTTTTTACTAAATTAATGAGTCAGAAGAGACTTCAACTATTAATAAATGAAAACTTATGACACAAGACATATAACATGTTAACTCAAAAATAAATAAAAAATAAAAAATAAAAACAAAACAAAAATAAATAAATAAATAAGATCTCACCAACTAGTTGAAAGCTTGGTGTGCTTTGATCCAAGTTTTAGCCCAAGATCTTATTTTCCTAAGAGGTTCGATCCACACATTTAGGATTTATAATGAATTTAGAGGTGAGAGATTGAAGTTAGAGAACGAGGGAATGAGAAAATTAGGCAGAATTAGGAGTGCAATGAACCGAGTTGTTTGTTAAGCAAATGAGCCGAGCTCGATCTCGATTTCTAGGCTTGTTTAGTAAACGAGTCGATCCCGCACAATGTTGGGCTCAGCTTGTGTAGGCTCGTGAATATGAGCTCGTGTAGGCTCGTTTATGTTCATGAACATAGGCTCGTGTAGGGTTTGTATATGTTCATGAATTGTAGGCTCGTTATAGGGCTCGTTTATATTTGTTTATATTTTTTATTGGAATTATTAATCATTGGAAGTATAAAATAAAATTTTCAATGGTTTACTAAACGAGACTGGTGAGACCGATTTTGAACGAGTTCAATTTGTTTTCTTAAATGAGCTGAGCTTAGTTTTTGAGCTCGACACAAGCCCGAGCTGAGCTATAAACAAACAAGCCCGGTCAGTCTAAAGCTCGGTTTGGTTCGTTTGCAGCCCTAGGCAAAATTGAGTCTATGAACTTAAAAAGAGCTCACTGAGATGTTATAGTGCCAACATGGTCAAGTCCCTCTGTGAAGTCCTAGCCAAGTCCCTTGTGATTTTCATTCACAACGATATATCGGGCTGTAACGCGATCAACTCAGCCTGAGTTCATTGCAACTCAGCCAAGTCGTCCCACAATGGCTGATATTTTGAACAACGAAATGGAGAGGATGTAGGAGGATTAATCATTAACACAAGAAGAAATAAATCATTGTATGTGTCCAGTGGTGCACAATTTGGTGATTTGAGGGGAGAGGAAGTAACGGCCATTCCAAAAAGTGGACAAAACCAATTCATAAGTTAAAGACTTATTTTTTGGTTCTTATTAGTAGTTTTTCTTTTTTTATAAGTGGTTTTTATTCATAGTTGGGTGACAGGAGCATGATCCCTTCCCTTATGGATTCATTTGTTTCCTTATAGGGGCTGCATATCTTTGCCTTGTGCACATCATGCGTACATAAGCTGCAATTTATCAAAAATAAATACATATATAAAAAATCTAACAAGAAGGTTAATGTTTTATTGAAAAGGTAGGAGATTCTTAGTTTTCTGTGATCTTATTGAGCACACTTCCATAGTTTTATCCTCATAAGAGTCTACTAAGGATTGTCAAGTAAATTTTCTATAGTTTTTACAACCATCCTACTTCACAAAAATAATGCGAGTATAAAATAAAACTGTCTGGGGGAGGATTTTTGGTTTGTTGGATGTCTTCATTCGTGTAATCCCAGTAGTCCTGGTGAGGCTACAAAGATATAAAATTGTTCTTAAGTCAAGTTGATGTGTAAGAAAATAACTAGGCCTAAAATTGGGCCAGATTAAGCCTAGCAATGGTTGCTCAAGTTGACCCAAATGAAGAAATCCCTGCCACAAGTATTAATCAGAACCCACTTTCCCAACTTATTCTGTTTACAAAAATTTCTCTTAGCACAAGCCAACCCGATATTGAATAAATAAATAACTTAGTTCAAATCATTACTAAAACCCAACACCCTATAAGTAAAAGAATTGTTACATTTCGTGGCACTCCAGTCAACAAGATTCAGGTTAAGCTACACACAACCTAATCCTAAAACTGAGCTCAATAGTTTGATCTAGCTCATCCCAACCAACAGAAATAATAAGAAATAAGTTCTAACCGAAAATCCTAAATATAAGGATTCAAAGTCCCACACTGTGAAAAGGAATGCCATGTCAAAAAAAAATTAAGGGGCTAGTGGAGCACAGATCAAATTAGCATGCAATCAACTTTTATGAAGCTTATTCACAAAGCCTATAGCATCAACTTTCATTTTCAGACATGTTACTCACCAATCTAACCCATGTCATTCATATGGTTGACTTTGGAGCTTGCACGCATTCTCCAATCACTTTGGTGGGCGTTCCTTTAACCATGGAGGCTTGCTCAGCAATTAGAGCGAGATCCTAATTATTGCTGATTACTGCTGAATCTGTCTGCTTAATTCTCACCAATTCAAACTTGAATCCATTTAGTCTTTTTTGGTTCCAGCATCTACCTGAGCCAAATTTAATCTTATCAATCCTAGTTAGGCCTTCTTTCAACATTGTTGCCTTCTTCTCTACATCGGCTGAATATCTAAACTGTTTCATATAAGGCAGAATTTGACATATGGCATATTTGGCTTGCTAATTGGAATGTTGCATGCCACTTCATATAACAGAAACTTATGAGGTCCACTTGAAGGTCTCTAAACACTCTAGAATCATTCAGTAACCTTAGGGTTCTACTGAAATAATTTCCTTCAAACCATAAGAGGGCTATAGTAATAAGAGAATCAATTCATAATCATGACAGAAAATGTTCAGCGAGATTTTCATGCATAGATGGGCAATGTAAAACATGTTATCTGGGTGCATAGAAGGTGCAGTTCTTCAAGCATAAATGATATAAAATGTGATTGCTTTAAACCGAAAAATCATGCAAAGTCCTTGAAAATATAATTCACCTACTTCGTAATTTCTTATTTGACAAATAGAGCCCATCAGAAAAGTACTACACCTTTGAAATTTATCTCCGTTTGGGTGATAACAATAAATTGTGGGATTGAGTGCACAATAGGAATAAACCCAATTCTATAATAGCCGTAACATTTGTATAATATATATATATATATATATATATATGTGGAAATTTGACAAGTGCATATTAAGAAAAATGACCTGATGGGTTTTTCCAGCTCGAAATTGGAGAGATCGTAGCAGCTCAGATCTTCAACAGCAAGACCCCAAGCGTGCAAGGCAAATTTCACAAATGCTCCGCAACCTTTCGCATCGGATCGGGCAAAATCAGCGCCTCAAATGACGAACCAAGAATGAATCGACGGCAATTTTGGACCGGCGACGGTGCGAGGGTTTGTTGATTGATGTAAGAAAAAATGGGATTTGACCAGAAAGATTGATTGCAAACGTAGTCTTCGACGACCGATGATGGCGTCGGATCGATTTCTCGGATCTGGCCGGTGGATTTGATTCACCCTCAGCGGCAACCGAAGACCTCGCTGCACCTTCTCCTCTCTCTCTCTCTCTCTAGTCTCTATCTATCTCTATCTTCTATATCGTCCTTGCTTTCTCTCTCCTCTTGCTATTGTGTTCTGAGAGAAACCCAAAAAAAGGTACCATAAAAAGTATGTACATATGGCCCAGAAAATGAATTCTACAGCCTTTATTTTTTTTATTTTTTTTTTTGTATTTCTAATATTTGACCTAAAAATGATCAAATGAGTGCACTCACCTAACCAAAAAAATTCTGCATCCATGGCTAGTGGTGCAATATATTTATATATGCGAATCTTTTTTATATATATATATATGCGAACTATAACATGATTTTTTTAAGAAAGTTGATATTCACTCTCTTTGGTTAAATGTATTTTAAAATAAAAAATGACAAAAATATTCTAATACTTATCCTCTTGTTTATCCATTGGAAACACGAATGTCCTTTTTATTTTAAGAAAGCCTCAAAATGGAAATATAAAAACGTGTATTTAATTATATTTAGGTGCGTGTGATGTGTGTTATATGGATGTTGATTAAAAGATTGAAATAATCAAGTATATTTGTATTTATATTGCAATGATCATTACTTTTGTCTTTCTCTTCTTGAGGTATTATTAGTTAAATAGAAAAAGCAAACAAACAAACTCAAAAGGTTAGTCCCTCTAATATGATCTCCAATCTCTCTTTGAGATGAAAGAAAAAATTAGATGAAAAGGAAAGGAAAAGGAATGAGACAACTCTAAGAGATAGTGTTATTATTTTATTTTTTTTTATTTTGTTCGATTTGATGAAAAATATTTTAAAAATAGTTTTCATCTTTATCCTACCAGGAAGTTTCTTCTTTCCTCCTATCTATCTATCTTGTCTCCACCTCTGTTCTTTTATACCTAGAGAAGCATCAAGTAGAGGTTGAGAGTTTTGAGCCACGTTGTCTATAACTGTGTGTGTATTTATTTTAACTTTTGGAAAAATAAAAAAATCAAACAGTGTGAATGAATGCTCTTCAGGATGAACAAAAGTGAGTTAACTTTTATGTTAATGTCGTACACTTGGTAGTCTCGTACTTCTTGTCTCAAATATCAATTTTTATAGGTTTTAATCAATGTTTTCAAGTTGGCATTCCATCAACCTTAGTACTTTGCCTATACCAAAAGAACTGTCCGATTTCTCCAATAGTTGTTGGGGTTGATACTGTTGTTAAATGCATATCACATTTACATCAAATTTCAAATCAATCAGTACAGAAGTTAGCATCTCAATTAATGTAGGTGATAGTACCAGATAGTAATCTGACTATGCAGTAGGTCTTGATACCTTAATTTTACTCAAAGTTGAAAATGAATATTAACGTTCGAACAATATTGTGAAAAGGGGTATAATGTTGAAAAAACACCTATGCTCTTACTTCTTATTTTTAAGAATAACTTAAACTAGGGTTTGTTAAACTTGCTTCCCGATTTTGGATAATTATAGTTACCTATTTTCTAATTACGGGAATGTAATAAATGGATTATTGTCATCAATTTCACTAATAATTAAAGATGATTAATACTGATGTAACAAATTTTTTAACTTCATATGACAAATCTGTTCTAAAAATCGTTGTAAAGACACTTTTGTCTAATACTTTTCATATGTGAAAAGACAATTGTACTCCTAATTAAATAAAATTAGATCGACGAAAATGTCATGAGTTAAAAGTATAATTGTCTTTTTGCACAATAAACATTGAACAAAAGTGTCTTTACAATAATTTGAAAGGCATATTTGTCACATAAAGTTAAGAAAAAAAAAAAAACTTATCACAATAACATTGACCATATTTGACCGTTAGTAAAACTGACAACAGGGATGGGCTTGTTATACACATTAACTGTAAATGAAGTAATTACAACTATCCAAAACACGGTAGATAAAAGTGCAATAAACATTAATTAGATAGGAGAAAAGTGTAATTTATTCAAATTTCAATAAGATAATTAGTCTTACTTTTCGAGCTTTTTTCCACATAAGTTTTATGAGTTGGGATTGGACGAACACGTATGAGTTATGGGATCCAACCAATCCTGCTCTTTGTAATTTTGAATAGTGATTTAGGGACTGAATTCGATAATTGCCGAATTCAATTTATGTACGAGGAATGATGAATCATATCACATGACCTAATAATGACATTATGTAGTTAAGGACGGTTCAATATAATTTGAGGTTTCAGACTAAACAAATGAAGTGGCCTTTTATGTTTGTAATGTTAATGTTTTATGATTTTTAAGTTTAGCAGTAAGACTTTTTCAATCTATAGTTTCATCGTTAGCTAATTGAATATTACTTTGAACTAAATAACTTGGGACAAAAACAAAAAACTATAAATCTTTTGAATGCACTAGTCATTTTTTTATCTAATTTTCAAATACAATATGTAGTTGAAAAATGCCAAGAGTTTTTATCTTTAGGATTATTAAATCATTAAATTTAATTAGACTATTTTTACCAATAAATCTCTTATTTTTGGATTAATATTTTTTCATTGTCCAAGGTCATAGATATTTTTGGGAATAGAATCTAATTTTTTATTTCACTTTCTTCTCCCCATTCATTTATTTATTTATTTATTGTTGTTCATAAATATTTTTCTTATCGCACATATAGTCACCAATATCTTTTTCTTTCGGTAGTGTACAATTACTCTTCTAATTCATCTAGAAATCTTGGTTGTTCATTAATTGATTTTTCACTCTTTTTTTTTTTTTTTTTTTTTTTTTTTTTTGTGCTTTGATTATTAGTTGTAACAAATTTATCAATAGCTCATTTTTAGATTTAATTAATTTATCTATTTTCTCTTCTTTATATGTTTTTCATATTCAGATTCATACTTTTTAGTAAACATATTCAACAATATAAAAAAATTATTACAACTCACAAACAAAATATATGATTTTATGACAGCAAAATTTAGTAAAACTATAAAATAATTTAAGTTATAAAACAATAGAATTTGATTTCAAAAAATTTGGTCCGAGGCTTCAACAAATTATTCAATAGAATAAAGTGTGCTCAAAACATTCTCACGGAGTGAAATAGTGAGAAAATATTTGAGAAACAAGATTAAAAAAAATAATTAAAAAAAAAAAACAAAGACAAAAGAGAAGATAAAAAAAAATATGTAGTAAGAGTCTTGAAGAATATGGAATGTTTCACCAATTCTCACTACAACCGTAAATTTATATGGTTGTAATGATCATGTTTATATGGTTGCAATGATCATGGGAATATATATATATATATATATTTATTTATTTATTTATTTTAAAGGAGAATGTAAAATCTGGACGTAAATCTTTTAGACACTATTAAATCTCTTTATTGGTTAAGATCTAATAATAGAAGGAAATAAATATTTTAGAAAAGTTTTAATATATAAAGAAACAAAAATTGGGGCCCTCAAATAAAGGTGATAAAATAAAATATATAAAAAAAAAAATAAAAAAAAGAAAGAAAAAAAAAAGAAGAAGAAGTAGGCCCACTATTAATCTTTCTATTTAATAAAAATAAAAAATAAAATTTTTAGGAATGTTATAATTTATAAAGTAAAAAAATATAGAATTTTCCTATTGACTGGCCGCCAAACTCACCTAAGGCTCTAGTCGGCTCTCGGCTCTGCATGTAGTGAGGTCCATCACCCCACTAAGAAACTATTTTTTGTAAATTTATAAATTTTAATGATTACATAATTCGCAAACCTTTTTTTTCTTGTTTTAAGATATAATAAATTCATTCAAATTGAAAAAGAAAAGTTTTTAAAATTACAATGATTATTCAATAAATTATAATACATTATTAAGGATCAAGTTGAAAGAGACACAGATTTTGAACCGTAAAGAGATCAATATACAAATTTCATATCCAAGAACCTACAGTTAAAACCCTAGTTTTATTTTCTCAATTGATGCAATGGCCTTTTACCAGATTTTTAATTTTTTAATTTTTTTTTTGTTGTTGGTACATAACGCGACATAAGTTGCATTAAAGAGAGTACTAAACCAACAGCAGTATATGAAACTTTAAAAGATTATCCAACAGGAAAATTCATAGGTAATACAAATAATCATCACTACATATCAACAAAGTCAGATACTACATTAAAAAAACACAGACGCTTATAGAGTACAAGAAATAAATGTATTAATGTTGTAAACTCTTAATATAAATATACAACTTTCGTGTTCAATTTCAATCTCACTAGAGGCTGTTACAGATGGGAAACATGCAACCCTAAAAGAAGAGAAGAAGAAGAAGAAGATGAGGTGATCATCCACGGAAATGAATATTTACAACTGATGGCTGCAAAAAGAGTGTCTGCTGAACAGAGAGAGCTAGGGGCAAAATTGGATGGAACAGGAATGAAGAGATCTTCTTTGTCCGACCATCTATGCTACCAGCTTCAGGTCCTGATTCAAAAGCCAGCTAACCATGATCATCCACTCGGGTCAAAATATAACTGAGCAAGCAATGGGGTTGGAGTGTAATCGTTACAGGCAAACTGAAGCTCATGATAATAATATGTAAATGAACAATGATACTAGAAGATGACCGTAAGGTCTCAGTTTTACTCTCATACAATTTGCTCGTATATATACAGCTTAGAAATATGTAGAAACCCTAATTGTATTCTAGTATCAGTTTAAAGACTGCGGTTTACAGTTATTTACCTGGTTTAATCTTGAATTTGAGAGAATACGGTTTCCTTCTTAAAATGAACTTGATGGGATGGTCTGTGGACTGTCTGTGTCGGTCAGTTGCAGAAATAAGCTGCAATAGATCAATTATGAAGGTCAAAAACCTAAAGATAATGAGCATAAAGTAGTGAAACCCCCTGAACTGCACATTAGCACCTTTAAGGGGGAGAGAGATGCTCTAAGAAACCAACCTTCGAAAAATGCAAATCAACCAAACATAATGTTTGAAGAGCCATATAAGAATTTCATCATTACAGTGAAGTAAATACAAAGGATGCAATAAAGGAAATGAGATTCATTTGCAGTTGGAATGAGGAAAAATATGATAAAACATTGTTCCACAATGAATTCACAAGTAAGAATAATTGCAATAATAGCATTACACTTCCATATAACAAACAGAAACTTTTCACTGGTGATTCGATCGGTAGTTATTTTTTGACATCGATGTGATATTTATGATAATGTTTCTTCAATATACATTACTAATATATCCAATAAAATTAGCCCTCCATGAAGAGTAAAGAAACAAACTAATGGTCTTTTCTGTAAGAAGAAAAAAGAACCATATGGTACATGCAGTACGGGAAGAGATAAAAAGATACAGAAAGGCAAAGAAACACTTGAGCATCCAATGTGAGTAAACGAATTTCTGATTTAAAGGATCCAACTTGTGCATAAACTCTAGCCAATAATCAGCCAAAACAATGAAGTGTCACGGAAATAAAGCCGCTCCTGAGAAAAATAACTTAAAATTGAATGAATTTTCAATTATTGCATCAACTTTAGCCATTGTCAAGGAAATAAAAGTGCCAGTACAATGGCTAATACCATAGAAAGTGCTTGCTCTTCTGAGCAAGATTATTTGCTGCATCAAGCGAGAATTAATTGAAAGCATGCCAGCAAAATTGTCCACAACAATACAAAATGGGAAGGATAAGATTGAATTACCATCAAGGAGAAAATGAGAGAGAGAGAGAGAGAGGGGCAATGTCGAGTCACCATTAAACCCCAAAAAAATCAAATACCTCAAGATTGCTTGGTTGGCAAGAATGGAGGGTTGGAATGGTAATCTTATCCCTTTTCTTGCCTGATTCCCTAGTGTGGTATGTTACCATACTAGGATTCCATTACTCCAAGAATGATATAACCTTTTAAAGGGGATTGTAATTTAATTCAAATCTTCGACGTAGTAAGCATGAGAATGCGGGTTCAAGTTGACAGTAGGCATTTTATGAATAATAATAGTGTCAAATGCTTGGTAAAATTAATATCAAAGGCTTGGTATGTCTAGATTCTCTCCCTCTTCAGTTTCGAGTGTGGGCAGGAGCGGCACTTGGCAATGAACCTTTACATATTAAGAGGAAAAACCAGTCTTGCTGACAGTGACACATAGTTAAATCTAAAAATAAAATAAATTTAAATTATTAATGAATTAGGTGCTAAAATAAATTTTAAATAATGACGTGACATTAGCATGTAAAAGAAAGATTGAATTTATAAACCAAACCTTTTCATCAAATCGAAAGAGAGATTGGTCAAAATAAGGAGAAGGACTCTGCGACTGGCAACTAAAAGGCAAAGAGGCCAGCATCTTCTTCACAAACTGCATATAAACCAAAAAGCCCATTACAGTAATTTTCACAGCATAAGGCCATAACGATTGCATGAGCATGGAAGCAATATGTAACCCTGTTACTATTTTCTGTCAAAGTCTCTTCGCATCTAAGCACAGATTTTTTCGAAGACAGTGCCAAAAAAGAATCCAAAAATTTCAACCATACAAGTTCAACTAAGAGACGTTACCTGTGAAAAGCTGCTGGCTTTATTTTTGTTGCACCTTAGTTGCTCAAGTGCATGAATGTTATTTGAGTGAGACGATATGAAATTCATATACACTGAATTTTTTGATGTTGCGTGAAAGTGGTCACTGAATTGCTCAAACAAGAAATAGAGCTCCTCTGCCGAATTCTACAGGAAATTAGGAAGAACTCGTGTATATATTAGAGTAAAGCCTTAAATTCGAAGAAAACATAAACAACCAATATATGAGCACAAACAGATACCTGATAAAATGCAATAACTTCAGTTGTCTCCATGTTGTATACAGCAAAGAATGCAGGATGGTTATCAGCACTTCGTGTTATCTAGGACATCAAATATGTTCAATCACCATACAAATAATTCTCATAAGGAGCACAAAACTTACTTCACTTAAAAGTCGATGACCATTAGATTTAGTATGAAATCAAACACATACTAAATTCACACACCATTAATTCAGGAGCTGATCCTTAAAGCTCCAACGTTGACCACCATGAATATTATCTACTAAACCAACCAGGGATCAGGTTGATTAGCACCAAAATTTCAAGGACAGGTGTGGCTGATCTAAACCTCTTCTTTGGCTTCTAAAGATCATCAATGGAAAATAACAGTTTTTTTCCAATATTTATCTGACACTAATAACTATGGTTCACACAAAATGCACTTTGTGATGTGGTGGGCCAAATTCGGTGCCGAGTTTTGATCCGACGACCTGTTGGATGAACTTTGAAAAAAATTTGACCCGTGTTTTGCTCATGGGTTGTGGACCCTAATTAGTCTCTTGTAGCCCAATATATAAGGGCGCTTAGGGTTTGGAGTGGTGTAAGAGAGAGAGACTGAAATTCGTACAAAAACAGAGTGAAGAGCTGAAACTTGTAATCTCCGATTTTACACATAGTGAAAACTTTCGCCAGATCACAACTGTGGACGTAGGCTGTTGCTGAGCCACGTATAAATCTTTGTGTTCTTTGTTTGGTGCGTTTACTTTTCTGTCGTGATTCTTGGTTTTATCTTGGGTTCGTTGCGTTTGTCATAACACACTTTATGTCTTCAAGATGATAAACAATCAAAGTCATCCTCTGATTACCGATTAGAAATTTAAAGCAGTTTTGATATTAGACAATTTAAGCTTACAATCATGAGGTAGCCATTAGAGTAAGTGAACTGCACAGCTAATAATTCTTTTGCGCGCGCGTGTGCTTATAATAAAGATTGGATGCATTTAAAAGGTTGGTTTTAAGCACATTATGAAGAACCAGACAGACGACGGAGCAAAGCAGAAATTGAGCAAGACAAAAAATTATAGTAAAATTAAACGTTCAGGGACTAATGAATGACATAAAACATCGATATACACATATACTCAATTGAACTCACAAAGCCTTCTGTGGACCACCATAAACAAATAAATCACTGAAAACTTAAAACTATAGTCAAATCGTAAACTAAAAGCCCATTTGGTGTTGATATTATTCTATGTTTTCTATGGCGAAAAGGCCTACAGGGCATGATATTTTCTACTACATACAACAACTTATGTTCATTAGTCACTGTTAACAACCATCTATCCAAAAGCTTAAGCTATTAGAGAGGGTGTAACTTAAATATTTAAAATCCTTTAACACGCCCCCTCACTTGTGGCCTTTTTTGGTCCAACACGTGTTTCAATTTTTTTTAAAAAATTATTAGGGTAACGGTGAGACTTGAACTCGAGACCTTTGGCTCTAATACCATGTTAACAACCATCAACTCTAAAAGCTTAAGCTGTTAGAAAGGGTAACTTAAATATTTAAAATCCTTCAACGGTTACATCCAATAAAAAGATCATACCCCATAGGCCTGTATTATGGTATTTATATATTGATATGTATTTTATCTTCTTCCACGGATGAAGGCAATGGATGCCTGCCCCCATATATATTTAATGTTTCTTCTTACCGGAGTGACCAACAACTAAATCCCTTTCAAAATGGAACAAAATAAGCATTGCATAAGACAGAAAGGCAGGAACAAGAAACCTCACCCCTCCATCGACACTGCCAAACTTTATCAGTAAATGATGCCGGTCCAAGAATTGTACCTGCTCAAAATGCAGACAATTTATTATATGTCCTATTCGAAGAGGATAAACAGATTTGTGGGGTAAAAACAAAAAGGGAGAAAACAAGATATGCAAGTCGTGTTCACATTTTCATTCAAGAGCATAAAGACGGAAGAGATGTGCACAATCAAAATTAGAACCATACCTTCCAAATAATCAGATCAACATAATCTTGAAAATGGAAATAGAACTTCTTCTTCAGGCATTGGATTCTCTGATTGAACAAGAAAACAGAGCAACTAAGCCAAGGATATTTTTGAACTAATTCAGATACGTAACTTGGTAACTGAAAGGAAATTCAAGAAATGTTAGGGAAACCCAACAATAAACACCATAAATGATATACTACATTATAAATGAAATGCCCCATATAAATGAGATAGATTAACGAATTAAAAAGTTCTAAGACTCTAATTGAAAGCATCATAAATTTAATAGTTGCGTGACCAACCAGGGTTTGATCTGTTTCTTCATTCCATATCCCACGAAATATGAATGAAAGCAAGCGCTGTTTAATACCACTGAGGAAATAATTGTCTGGAACAGATTCACTATGTTGCAGACCATTTCCAATATGATTCAGGGGCACCTGATGCAGCTTACTTTTGTTAGGTTCTACCGTGCACTGCAATCGATAGCTATATTGTAAGTCTAGGAACATGCATTTGATACAAGAGAAAGAACTCTTTATTTGGAAAACCGCATTGATAAATATAATTAGCCATAATAATGAAAGCCACTAAGTTTATGCCACCTTTTCACATTCACAAACATGACACCCCCTGTCAACAAGGACCCGATTCTCTGTACGATAAAAGGGCCCATCGTTATAATTAACTAAAAGCCGCCTAAATGATAAGCATTGTGAAATTTTATGTTAAGTCAATAGGGTTTTCAATTTTAACTGTCCTACTCTGCCTTAAGGCATTAAGTTTTCTATATTCGAGGTGAAGTCTCAAATCTGATAGCAAGTTTAATCAGGAAAAATGCCCGTAAACCTTCAGTAAAATGCTCATCAGGAGCTTGAAAATTGAAAACAACTTGCCTGCCCATTGGAATTGAGAAAAAGCTCATCATCTTCACGGCAAAATGCTCCAACTGCTCGAACATCAACAAGGTTCCCGGAGTCCCTAATTTGAAGAATGTGTATTGTTTGATAGCGAAGGGATACTATAGCCAGTAAATCATCATACAAGAAAACACCCATGCTATGGGCGAGATTAACATAATCATTGCGGAAAACCCTCTCATCAAGTATAGCTCCATCTTCCAATCTAAGAAAATCATAGTGAATACAGGCCACAATGAACCTTTGAGGAATATCTCAAATTGTCATCTTTCAATTTTTTTTCACAAAATTGTAAACTTGTTAGAGAAAATAAAAGTACAAACCTCAAAAGGTGAAAAGTTATCTTTTCAATTGAAGGGACTCCTTGGACAGCTCCTCCAACAGCAGGCGCGTCATGAACTTGGGCAGTTGAAGTTGCAAAGAGTCCAAATTGGTTACTCTCTATGTAAAGGAAGAAGTCTTTGCATATAAGCTCGTTGCTTGAAGCTAGTGGTACACAGTATAGTTGGGTGAAAAAGCTCTCAAACCTATTGGCTTTGGAGGGAAGATCATGACTATCACAATCTTCTTCTTTGCATGAAAATGACAGCCATGTTGGCCTATAGACAATGAGCTCTTGATGATTTCTGCTGAAACTTATGAGGTACTGACCATCATCAGTGAACTTACGGAATGAGTGGTCGGGGCATTCAATATCGTATATGGTACAACTTGGGACTAGATTCTCGTAAAACCGCCTTGCATAATGAATCTGCAAGCATCATATTATGGTTATCAGCTTTGAACTTCTAGCAGACTGGCACAAAATAATTCACAAGTTAGAGAGATAGAGCATCCAAACTAATTCCATACACATTCACTTCTTCCTTCCCATTCATAAATAAAAACAGAATTTTGTAGAGAAATGATACTTTATGTTTGTGAAATAATATATATTATTGCATAAAACCAGCGGCCAGCATAGAAGGAATGCCTATAACTTCACGAATAATATGAAATTATTTCCAAGGCCTTAGAACGTTTTCTTAGCATCATCAACTACAATAGGAAGCAAGGAAAGCAAAAAGAGAGATGCCTGGATTCCAAAAGGTTGACTGCAAGAACAAGAAAATTCTGCTTTCAACACCTTCCCCGGCTTAAAGGTGAAGCTTAAACGCTATAAAACACATCTGATAACTGAGAACCACCCTGGGTTGTGAATATATTTAAAATGGAGTTGTCAAAGATGCTGGATTCAACTACCGTATTGCCTAAGTACCAATATGGAACAACACATCAAGAAAGAGGTGACGCTGCATAGCACACATTTTTGAGATACAAATGGAGTTTACATATTGGCATGCCAAATTAACTATTTCTTAAGCTATTTGAAACACACTTCCTGTGCGTCAAGATAATTTTAAGAATAATTATCATCATCCTTGCTTAATCCTATATGAATATGGTCGGCCACAAGAATTCTCTCTCCAATCTTTGCTATTACATGCCATTTTCTACTATATTTAACTTTTTAAGGTCATTTTTAATAACCTCGTCCCACGTTGTTTTTGGCCGCCCTTTCTATCTCTTGCCTTCTATTACAACTATTCTTCCTCTTTTGACAAGTGCGTCTCTAGGTCTCTGCTTTTAGTGTCCAAACCAACAAAGTCTACTCTCTAATTTTCTCCCCAATGTGTGCTAAACCAAAACTTTCTCTCACTTTCATTGGTGATCCCATCTCTTCCAGTCATTCCACCCATCCATCTTAACATTCTCATTTCCGTTCCATGAAGGCATTGTTATTGTTTCCTTTTTAGGGCCCAACATTATGCTCCATACAACATAGTTGGCCTAAGACTCTATAGAATTTTCCTTTTAGCCTATGTGTTATTCTTTTATCACATAATATCCCACTAGTTTGCCTCCATTTTGTCCAACCCGCTCCATATTTGAGAATAAATAAAAAACTAAAATAAAAGAACAAGGAAATAATATTCTTCAACATGTAATATATTAGAACGGCATTGAACTGAAAATATGAAACAAATCATTCTTTACAAAGATACACAAAAACTTGATGATATATTATTTCTAAACCCCACTCTTACTCACATAGTTGTTATCCAAGAAATGTAGCCAATAGATTATCAAGTAAACCCTGATGGGAAATGCTTCCTTTCCTTCCTGCCAAACAACTGAAACTTTACTCATCTCTCCCCTTTCCATTCTCCCTCTTTCCTTCAACCCATTTTCCCTTCTACCTGTTGGGTTTGTGGCTCAAAATTGCATAAATTAGTTTCCTTTTCCATTTTGGAAGACTGAAATTTGTGAAAGAAATTGTATCTCATTATGTTTCTATTTTAGAGTGAAATTGATTTGGTAACTCCTTGCAGGCAAGTGGTATAATTCTTGTCCAACAAGGAATTGGGTTTTTTGAAGACTATAAATAGAGATGGGTTTGGGTAGAGAGGTGGAGAGGAAAAAAGATATAATTCTAAAGAGAGAAAAAGTGAGTTAAGTTTGTGAGGAGAAAAAGTGTGCAATAAAAATTTGAAGTAAATAAAGTCATTCTTCCCCCGTGGATGTAGGCAATTTGCCGAATGCTTGTGTGTGTGATTTTATTTGTTCTATTTGCCAATTGTGCGTGTGAAATCCTAACAAGTGGTATCAAAGACAGGATGACAACTATTACAGAAGGAAAGTAGGTGGTCCAGAAATTTGATGGAAGAAGGAATTTCAGCCTTTGGCAAGTTCGGATATGAGATTTACTGATTCAGCAAGGGTTAGGAGAAGCTTTGGGTAAGAAACCGTAAAAAGATGGAAGATGCAGATCGGGAGAAGATCAACTCGAAAGCAATGAGTGCAATTCGATTGACGTTGGCGGATGATATTGTGTATGATGTGATAAAAGAAGATTCAGCAGCGGACATGTGGAAGAAGTTGGAGAATTTGTATATGGGAAAGAATCTCACCAACCAGTTAGTCTTGAAGCAAGAGTTGTATTCCTTTAGGAGAAAAGAAGGGGTAAGCCTACAAGAACATCTTGGTGAGTTCAATAAAATTATTTGTGATTTATCTATTGTTGATGTCAGTGATAAGGATAAAGCAATTATTTTGCTAACATCAGTACGCTTTACCCATAAGCATTTATTCAATACTTTGCTTTATGGGAGAGATACCATCTCAGTGGAACAAGTTAAGAGTGTTTTGTTCTCTAATGAAAAGTTGAATAAAGAAAAGAGCCGTGATGCCCAGGCTCAAACTCTTATTTCTCAAGAGAAGAAGAGATTTGGAGCTTCAAGAAATCTTGTGCCATTGTCAGAGAAAAAATGCTACTACAGGTGTGGAAGAAAAGGGCATATTTAGTGGTATTGTCTGGAAAGAAATGAGAGTAACGGAAAGAAATGAGAGTGCATCCGCTACTGCTGTTGTGTCAGAGTTGTGTCAGAGAATACAAAAGAATGGAGTGATAATGATGAAGTATTATCAATCATTGATACTAAGGGAGAAGCTAAGGAGTGGATACTTAATTCTACTTGTTCCTTTCAAGTGTGTCCTCATAAAAAGTGGTTTGCTCCCTAGGTGGTAAGGTAATTATAGGGAATAATGCTTCTTTTATGTTATGGGAATTGGATCAATCAAAATCAAGACAACGAATGGTTTGGTAAGAACTGTAACGAATGTACCAAGTGTTAGAAGAAATGTGATTTTTGTGGGAGCATTGCATTCCAAGGGTTGTTGGTGTGAAGTGAAGAATGGATTAATGAAGATTAGAAGGGGACCACGTGTCATGCTTTTGGGAATATTTTGTTGGGAAATACTATGCTAGGTGGAGCAATTGTAAAGACATAATGGAAGCCTGTTTCGAGATCTACTAGATTGGAGGATCAAGAGAAGGAAGAAGTCTTCGCAATTGCAAAACCACCAACATTTATTCCATAAGCAAGAAGAGTTCGATTTGGTGACTAGAAAGTAGATTCTAGGTTCAATTATTTGAACTTGGAATTTGCTAGGAACAGAGGAGTGTAGCGGAACAGCGAAGAATGACTAGAAGAAAGAAGATGTTAGGTTCAAGGTGGAGAGATACAGTCAAAGGTGGAGATTGATGGGTTTGTGGCTCAAAATTGCATAAATTAGTTTCCTTTTCCGTTTTAGAATAAGATATAGATGGGTTTGGGTAGGGAGTTAGAGAGGAAAAAGAGTTAATTGTAGAGAGAGAAAATGTGAGTTGAGTTTATGAGAAGAGAAAAAAAATGTATAATAAAAATTTAAAGTAAAGATAGTCATTCTTGGGCCGTGGATGTGTGCTTTTATCTGTTCTATTTGCCAATTGCTTGTGTGAAATCCTAACACAACCAAACAATGAAAGAAAAATTAGCTGTTAAATTGGTAAAGGAGATTTTAATTCAATCTTTGCTATATAACACAGAACAAAAGGGCAAAGCAAGAAAGATAAAGGAATCAAATCAGAAGAAGAAACATACACTTGTGCCCGGAGCAGGAGTGTAAATCTGGCGCTCGAAAATTCTGGCAGTAACATTGTTGCTTCTAAACATCAGTGCTAGCTCCAAACTCAATTGATCTTACTCCAAAAACCCACCATGTGATGTGAATAAAGATATATAACACACTTTTCTACTACTGTATATAGTTCGAATTAGAAACAACGCTGAGGGAAAAAGCATGCAGATGATCAACAAACCGCTGGTTGTAGAAATTTCACCGAAATATCGGCGCAAAAACGATGAATTGGTCGGCGATTGACAGCGGTGACATACAACCTGAAGGCTCTCAGACTTCGACTTCTCTCCCTGCTCTCCCTCCGTCACTCGTTTTATGTGGACCTGTCGATTCTCTCTCTTTCTCTCTGTTCTCACTCCGTCACTCGATTTATGTGGCCGGATGGAGCAGAGGCAAAAGTAAATACTAGTACATAAATAAATACTATTTGACATTTTTTATCTATAAAATTGTAAAATAACACTTGCACACACTCCCACACACACAAAATTATTAAAACCCATAAACACAGTGAAGCCACTCTCCCAACGAATTTTGATCCAAATTTTAATTCGATTGAGAATAGCATCAACTTAAATTTGATAATTTATTAATTAAATAAATTAAATAAAAATTATGATCAATTCAATCGAATAATAATTTGATGTCACATAAAATATTAATATAATAGGACAACTATATATTATCAAATGCTATAATATAACTTTTTAATTTTTTCATACGCTAGAGCGTTTTCCTTTAACAAAGAATAAAATAGTTAGGGCCTGTTAGTATTTTTGATTTGTGTTTTTTGTTTTTGTCAGTGTATTGTGACCAAATAAAAGTACAAAGCATGTTTGATAATATTTGTTGTACTTTTGAATAATATCAAAACTCTTCCAAAATTAGAAACATCAAAATGATACTTTTATTTGTTTTTGCACTGTAGCGAAGCACTGTTTAAAAATAGAAAATAATTTTTTTTTTCTAAAATAACATTTTTAACTAACTATTCAAAATTTCAAACTTATAACATTTTTTTACCAAACATGCTTTCATATTTTTGCTTCTAAAAATCTTGTAACAAATTTACGTTACCAAATAAGCTTTTAAACAGTGTTGAATACACTTTAAAAGTATAATCATTGCTTCTGTTTCGGGTCAAAGTAAAAGCACATGGCAATTTTGGTTACCAAATGGGCCCTTCATTTTCTTCTCCTTTTTTCTATCACTTTTTATATACTTTTTGTCATTTGTTTCTCTCTCTTTTTTCTTTTTCTTTTTTTTTTTTTTTTTTTCTAACTTCCATCTCTTTTGACATTAATTTTTTAAAATTAAAATAAAATACATTTATAAAGTATTAAATTATCCTATTGAATGTCCGTTTTATGAAATTATTTAAAAATTATTCATTGAATTGTTGTATTGAATCGCGTCAATAAATAGTCTCATCGAATTCACAAATACTAATAAACTCTGCAACCACATTTCACGCAAAACCCTATCAAAAAGTATTATAACTCTCTCAACCGATCTCTCTCTCACGCATGTAACAAACTCTCGCTTACTATCACCCTATACATATACATAGATCCACATATAAATATGATTAATTTATTAATATCGGCAGTATTTATAAACGGATCAAATTCATGTGATATATATATATATATATATATATATATATATATATATGTTGGAGAGGATTAAATCAATCACTTCAATTAGAGCATTCCGGTAAGTACAATTCCAAGGAATGAATCAAAGTGGCTGCTAAGGAATTATTGTAAGGACGATTCCATTGAATGAATCAAAGTGCATTCCAAGGACGTTTCAATTGGAGCATTAGGTCTTTGATTAAATTATTCTCTCTCCAAAGTGGCTGCCAAGGAATGAATCAAAGACCTAATTCCTAAGGACGTTTCCAATACTGCTGCTCCAGCTGAAACAATTGTAGCTCTAGCAAGCTATTTCTTCTACACTTGAAGGCAAATATAGTATAGAATTATCTTAACCTTTTCCTTTGTTGTGGATTTCTTCTCCCTTCCTAATTTACAAGAATCATTTTAATAGAGTATAGAATTATTAAAATCAGTTCAATCTATCTTTTTCTTAACAATTTATAATTGACATTCTATGATGAATGTTCTTTTTTTTTCAACGCAAGTGGCCTATTTTTTATATTATTTTTTTTATGATGAAATATGATTCTAACAACAAATTATAGTAAAATTAATTTTACTTATAACATAATAAAGGGTCAAATGAGTAGTAAAAATAGGGATGGGTATAATGGTAAAATAATTTGAAATTCTCTCCTCTCTTTTCCTAACGAACAAAATAGGTTGTCATCTAGTTCTCTTTTCTTCTATCCAACCGAACAAAATGAGAGAAGTTCATAATTTCTTCCATAGTGATGTCTCGTCTTTCCCTTCTTCTCTCTCTTCCATCCAATTGTTTTCCTTCCTACTGAACGAAGCATAAGAATAGTCTCTCACCTCACTTAGTGGAGGCCACTCTCAATACATTTTTCTCATAATTATTCGTGGCAGTAAAATAGAAAGACCACCTGTAATTGGTTATAAATTATAAGATAGTAAGATACCTTAAAAGAACTACACGGTACACCTATATAAAATAAAATAAATGTGCCATTATTTAATCACCCATTGATCAATATAGAGAGAATCTAATTCAATATTCAATTTTCAAACAGCACATGTTGAATATTTAATGTTTCCCTCGAGTGAATGTGACAGGATGTCATCTTAATATACGAATCACTATCGATCGACCCAGTTTATGTTTAGAGTATTTAGACATTCATTTCAGACCATGGTAGATAACCAGATGAGACTGTCTGATTCTATCTAGAACAACCTATATGCTTAATTATTCTCTCAATAATAATTTTTTGTGTAGAGTGGTGTGTTTGTAAGTTTTTTGTTAATGACAAAAAAAAAAAATAAATAAATAAAAATTTGCCCTTACAATTTCCCCCTTTTTTTCCCTTCAAAAATATGTTTTTATTATTTCATTTAAAGTGGGTTCTCTTACCGCCGAATAGATATTAAAAAATAGTTTGTGTTTGTTTATGCAATTGTCTATATTATAAACGGTTGGAAATTTATCAAATAAAATTTGAGTCAAAATTATAATGCATCTCATTAAGCTTTTGAGGTGGATATATGTGTTGATTATTGATACTGAGCGCAATATATTTATTGACTGTTCAATTGAAAATTTGTAACATGTCACATAATTCGTTTGGTTCCACACTTGAATTAACGATTTGGGAACATATTCATCCCAAATTTGCAAACTCATTTTTTTGGGATGAAGTGCAAAAAACTCACTTGTAGTTTGAAAAGTATACAAATAATATCCCTTATGTTCAAATCTCACTCATGTAGTATGAAAAGTGAGCAAACAAAAGATTATTGTTAATTAAATAAAGTGAGAGAGGCAAAAATATGAAAAATGCCCCTCGAGATTCTCTTTACAAAAATAATAAAAGATGGGTAAAAGTTGAAATTACTTAAAAGGGCTTATACAAAAATTAGAGAGTAAAATCAAATGAAATATAATGTAAAAAATTAATAAATATATATATATATATATATATATATATATATATATATATATATATATATTGTAACACCCAAATAAGTGACCTGAATCGCTAACTGGGTCCCAACCCGAGCCTAGGGCACTAAGGGCAAAATGGTCATTATGTACCTCTCCATGTTCTAGGAGTCATAATGATGGCACACCAATCGTTTCTAACCAAATCAAATCATGAAATAGTGATAACCTCAACTACGGGCTCACTTTAAATCCCTGGGGTTGATAAAAGTAAAATGGTCATTTCATGTAAAAAAACATATGGAACGAGACCTACACCATAAGAAAGATGACTCAAAAATGTGCGAGTTTGACTCAAGAACGACCTTATTTGGGTTTAAAACGAATAAATTATGGGTATTCAAAGTTCGGAAGCAATTTCTGCAAAATAGAAAATGGGGGATCAATCGCCCACCCCATGGCAGAACCCCGTTATGTTTTGGAGGGGGGGATCGATCCTTCACTGATTTTTTAAAAAAAACAAATAGGGTTGGACCCCATTTTTGCCCCTTTTTGAATGGTTCCTATTCCCGGGCTATAATTTGGTCATTTTGACTATTCAACTTCTGTCCCAACTCATGAAAATAATGTGCTAAAACATCACCATGCATTAATATACATATAAATTAACAACATAATGCAATGATCCACATGAGATCATTTCGAATGCATCCATCATTGCCAATATACTAATGTACATCATTATCATCATTTACATACTCCAAAACATATATAAAGGTCGTCCAAAAGAATACGGTTACATAGTCAAGGCCTTTGTGGCCACGAATACAATGCCTTCTGTAGTTTCAACGAATAGTAGTCTCTTTAATAAATAGTCGTCATAAACTAAGCAATGATACAAAAACTACAAAAGACGAGTATTTTGCCTACACCTACATTTGTGGAGGTGTGTCGTCCACTACATCCTTGTCATGACCTGAAAAATATTGAAGGAAGGGAGCACGAAGGCTCAATAGAAGATGTCTAAAGTGCCGACTTTGGACTCCCTTAAGTCAAACAAATAATGAGCGGAAAAAAATAGAGCTCGGGATTATACTTTAGGAATCTTAACGATGTAATAACAATTTACACTTTACCCTAAACGACATTTGTAATACCCCTAATTTTCAAAAGGATAGTCTCGGTATTTTATTTAATTGTTTTCTGTTCATTAATTATTTTGAATTATGTTTTAATTGACTTTTTAATTATTTGACTTGCTTGACTTATTTGTGTTATTTGAATTGTGTTTTAATTGACTTTTTAATTATTTGACTTGCTGACTTATTTGTGTTATTTGAATTAATTAGTTGGTTTATTTGTTTTCTTTGGTTTAATTAATTATTTGAATTATTTACATTAATTGTGATAATTGTGATTATTTAAGTTAATTGTTTTAATTATTTATTTGGCTTTAATTTTCTGTAAATTGTGTGTTATTTTCTGTTTTACGTTAACTTGGAATTTTATTATTTCTTTAATTGAATTAGTAATTAAATGTTTTAATTAATGACTAGGTATAAAAGTGTGGTTAGGGTTTTAGTTTTGTTTAGGTTTAATTTAATGAGCCGACAGGGTTTATAAACTAGGTTGTGTTTATGGGCCGCGTTTCAGACTTTGGATATAATTGGACTTAGGGTTTTGGTTGCCTATAAATATATAAGATAAGTCTGTTTAGGGTTTAAAAAAAAATAAAACCAAAACACGTCTGTGGAAATAGAGACGAAGAACAGAGGAAGTTGTAGTAGGAATCGCCGGAGATCGTAGAAGACAACGTAGAGATTTT